GTCTGATATGAGGATAAGGAATAAGATGGGGGCGAGTACTGTGCCTTGTGGAACAGAGCTCTTCACTATGGCAGCCTCCGATTTAACTCTGTTGACCACTACTCTTTGTGTTCGATTTGTTAGGAAGTTGAAGATCCATCTCCCCACTTTCCCAGTTATTCCTTTAGCACGTATTTTATGGGCTATTATGCCATGATCGCATTTGTCAAATGCTTTTGCAAAGTCTGTGTATATTACATCTGCATTCTGATTTTCTTCCAGTGCATCCAAGGCCATGTCATAGTGATCCAGTAGTTGTGAGAGGCAGGAGCGACCTGCCCTGAACCCATGTTGCCCTGGATTGTGCAGATTTTGGGAATCCAGGTGATTTGCAATCCTGCTTCTTAGCACTCTTTCAAAGATTTTTATGATGTGGGACGTCAGAGCTATTGGTCTATAGTTCTTAGCTAATGCTTTGCTGCCACCTTTATGGAGTGGGGCTATATCCGTTGTTTTAAGTGACTGGAATTTCACCCATGTCCAAGCTCCTCCTCCATAGTGTACTTAGGGCACGCGAGAGGGGTTTCTTGCAGTTCTTAATGAAAACAGAGTTCCACGAGTCTGGGCCCGGGGCTGAGTGCATAGGCATGTTGTCAATGGCTTTTTCGAAATCTATCGGAGTTAGGGTAATGTCAGAAATCTGGCATACATTTATGGAGTTTTGAGGCTCATTCATGAAGAAATCATTTGGGTCGTCGATCCTCAGACCGATTAGTGGTTCACTAAACACAGAGTCGTACTGGGATTTCAATATTTCACTCATTTCCTTGTTGTCATCTGTGTAAGTCCCATCCTGTCTGAGTAAGGGCCCGATACTAGATGTGGTATTTGCCTTGTTTTGGCATATGAAAAGAAATATTTTGAATTTCTTTCAATTTCACTAATAGCTTTAAGCTCCTCCTGCCTCTCCTGGTTCCTGTAAGAGTCATTTAGCTTAAGTTCGATAGTTTCCACTTCCCTGTCAGCGCCTCCTTTCGTGTATCAGATATTCTAGCACTCCTGAGGAGCTCAGTGACTCTTCGTCGTCTTCTGTAGAGGGAGCGTCTTTTTCTCTCCAGTTTACTCCTGCTCTTCTTCTTTCTTAGGGGAATATGCCTAGAACATGCTTTGGCTACCAGGAAGTGATCTTTCAAGGCACTGGTTTGGATCCATGTCATTTAAGACATCTTCCCAACATGTTTCGTTTAGGACATGGTTTACCTGGTCCCAGTTGATGTTCTTGTTGTTGAAGTTGTATTTTGTGAAAACACCTTCACAGGTACATGCATTCTGCTGATCAGGACCCCTATGCATGTACGTCTGGACTTCGATTAGATTGTGATCAGAATTAGTTGTTTTTGATATTCTTATGTTTCTTATCAGGTCCTCATTATTTGTGAAGATAAGGTCAAGTGTGTTTTCTAGTCTTGTTGGCTACACTATCTGCTGGCTTAAGGTGTGTTTTTCACAGAGACTTAGTAGCTCATGTGTGTGTGACCTTTCATCTGCGCTACCTCCGGGGATTGTTTCAGCTATAACATTATTTGCTACATTCTTCCATTTTGTATGCCTTAGGTTGAAATCACCAAGCAGTAAGATGTTTGGGGATGGAGCTGGAAGGTTTTCCAAACAGTAATCAATTTTCAGTAGCTGTTCCTTGAACTGTTGTGAGGTTGCATCTGGTGGCTTGTATACAACCACAATGACTAGGTTTTGGTTCTCGATCTTTATTGATAGAACTTCAACTACCTCATTTGTGGTGTTCAGCAACTCCGTGCAGATAAGGGACTCTTTGACATACAGGCCAACCCCCCCTTGTTGCCTGTTTTTTCTGTCGCATCTAAAAAGGTTGTAACCACTTATCCATATTTCACTGTCAAAGTGATCTTTGTGTGAGTCTCTGTGAAGGCTGCAAACATTGCATTAGACTCCTCTAGAAGTCCACTGATAAAAGGTATTTTGTTGTTGGTGGCTTAAGGCCCTGTATATTAGCAAATATGAACGAGGTTGTATTCTGTGTTTGTTGGGGGGATTTTGTTATTGGCATCAGTAGTTGTAATTCTGGAGGGCCATGGGTGGCCACTGGCTGCGCCTCCAGTCCAACAAGGCTCCAAGGTGGTGGACTATTTTTGTTATTTCCTTCCATTTTCTTTTTTCGTTTCCTGCCACTAAAATATCACCTGGAGTTGGGTTGTCGTAGCTCCTATTGTTTGTCTTGTTGGGTCTGTGCCTCCTGGTCCCTTTTAGATGGTATGCAGGGCACTCGATGTTGTAACACTGCTTCTGGAGGACCGAGGAGTGGCACATTTTTGGGTGAAAGAAAGTAAAGAAAGAAGAACGACACACTCCTTTAGACAGGAGGTCGCTACATTTTTTGGGATGGTCAAAGTTGCATGTCCCATTTTTTTCCCCTGTTATTCCATGCTTACAGATGCCCCAAGCATAATATTTGCACAAATTCACCTTTGGTTGAGAATTGTTGGGAGGTGTGTTGTCAATTTCTGCAGGTTCTGGGACTGCGCTATAATCCTCAGTATCCAAGCCAGGGCCACCCCGTCCTGGATTCCATCTACTTTCCCCAGTAGAGGAAGGAGGAGACTCCTCTCCAACATCTGTACTGTGGGCCACGGTCTTGTGCAATGATGGTTGTATATTTACGGTTTTAGATGGTTGTATATTTACTGTTTTTGTGGTGGTTTTGGTAGTGTTCCTAGGAGAGTCTGGGCTGGCAGTAAGGCTGGGGGCTGGGTCTGGGTCGGCACTGGGGTTGGGGGCTGGGGCTGGGTCAGCGGCTGGGCCTGGGCCAGCACCAGCACTGTGGGTATTAGTGTTATGACTGGGGGAGCCTGGGCCAGCACCAGCACTGTGGGTATTAGTGCTATGACTGGGGGAGCCTGGGCCAGCACCAGCACTGTGGGTATTAGTGCTATGACTGGGGGGTGGGTCTGGCTTAGCACCATGTGGGTGACTAGATAGTTTCAAGTCATCTGTTGTGGTATGGACATTCTGCATTTTTTGATACACTATCTCTTGCTCCCATGTTTTATATATTTTTGGTAGACTATCCAAGAGGTCATCCTTGTTTTCTTGATTATTTTTATCATTTATTACTCTCCTTAGTACCTTTCTGATACCTGCCCAAAGTTCTACATCTTTATTGCACAACCAGAAACACCTTGCTAGTTCGAGGTCATTTTTTGAGGCTGTATTTAGTCTAGTACAAGAGATATGGTGTTTGGAAGAGCATAGGTTGCATGTGATTCTGGATTTCCTTCAAAGGATTTTTTTACATGTCCCACAGATATGCTGTGCTGACATCCTGTCTGTATCCTACTACACTCTGTATGCCACGGAAGAAAACTGATTTCCACTTTACCTTTCTCTTGCTGGTGCCAGTAATATGCAAGATGTATTTATACGAACCAAGTTTGCAGTATGTGGGTGGTGGTGTAGGGTGGGTGGTGGGTGTAGGGTGGGTGTGAGCTGGGCAGGACTTGCCCACACTGCCACACTTCACTATTTTTTTTTTTTTTTTTTTTTTTTTTTTACTATTATTATTATTATTATTATTATTTAAATTCCTTTTATGTAGTGCTGTACACTATTTATCTCAAGGATATACACTGTATTCTTTCAAAATACACTTTTCACTGCGCTATACTGGGATCATTGTTTTATTATTTACACAGCAGCTAGGCTTACGCTAACTTTCCCCTACACTTCTAAGGAAAAGATTATTTCCTGTTTAGTAGAGGTATGGGAACAAATTCGTTCGGTAACAGCACTCAAACAGCCTTCTGGAATGAATTAGTATGGCCAAAACTCGGGGTACCAATGTATTTAATTTCTTTTTTCAGTTTATTAATATGAAATGTGAATCATATTTGCATAGGATGATGTAAACTTTATGATTCAATTTATTATGAGGTGGGGTGAGTGCTGAAGGTAATTGCATGGGAAGAGTGGGTGAGTCAGGAGAGGAAAAAAAAAGTGTCACCCAACAGTCCCACCATCCTTCCTCCCTCAACCAACCATCATTCCAGTCTGCCAACCATTGACATATAGTACACATGAATAAGCACATGGACAAACAGAACAGTACAAATTAATCTTCAAAACAGAAACAGCAAAAGACAAAAATAAGTTTAGACACAAAGTAGCAGATTATGAAGTCTTGTTAAAGTGTGGTTCCAGCCTAAGAAGGGTACCATTAGTGTGAGAAATGATAGTCTTCTCACTTCACCAAAGATAGTGTTCCCATGAGTGAAACTACTATACAGTATTAGTGTTGTGGATATTTTACTGAGTGTGATATTAGTTTCCCATGATGCTACTGAGTGTGGAAGCTACTTTGAAGGACCAAATATTTAATACAACTTATACAGACCTAGCAAACATCAATGACATACTAGAAAGCCCCTGATTTTGCAGAGCTTTTGGGCAACTTAGGTTAATTTTGTCCCTAGGATGCAACCCACACCAGTCAGCAAATACATACTTGCTCAGAAAGCATAGAAAAATATAGGAAAATTTGCAAAGATTCTGAATGATATGTGGTCCTTGAGAGCAGCTTCCACACTCACTAGCATCATGGGAAACTAATGCCACCATTCTCCAGATAATGAGAATAATGAACACCTTATCATTGAAGAAACATTACTTAAGATTTTCATTGTATTTTCTCCTCGGAAAAATGTTATGCTTCATGTGGTGGTGAGGAAAAGATTTCATTTAAGCAATGCATTAAGTGCCATATCTGAACTGTAAATGCTTCACTAATATATTCCTGCTGTTGATAGACATGATTTTTATTGTGCTCCTTTTCAAGTTATGTTTCTACATTTGTGGTATACAGTTCAAGGTTTCTTCATAACTTTGAACCCCAAATGGTTGCATTGGTTTTCTTGTGTCTGGTACTAAGTATAATGTTTATATCTACCTGCAATGCATGTCATATTATTCACAGTGTGTTTCTTCCCCAGCATGATCCTCTTGACATATTTGTGGATGTGAAGGATATCACAAACAAAATTCAGGTAATTTGTTCTTTGAAGACTTGACAGTTTTAATTGGGATTAAATAATCTACTGTCTCTGCCTAGTTAGTAGGCTGTGGGTTTGCTATGAGAAATAGCATAGATGTATATGGCTTGTAATTTCAACATGACAATAATAACTATTACATGTGCATGAAATTATCTTGTAAGCTATTATGTATTTTATTTGCAAATTTATTTTCTTCCTTCTTATGCCTAATTTTAACAGAGAGCAATTATAATTAAATTTAATAGCACTCTTATTTAAAACATTTAGTGTGTGTTTGGAAAACTATTTGCTAGTAGCAAAAATATAAGTGATCACAACAATTTTATTTTGACTAGTAATGCTGAATGTATTAATAGACAGTCCACTTTATAACAAGTCTCATGTACACACATGTACATGAATGTAAGTGCACTGTACATTCATGTACAGTGCACTTACATTCATGTACAGTATGTCTCATAAAGTGTTAGGTGTTACCAAATCTCTACCTCTTCTTTCATTCAGTATTTTTTTTCCTTCATTCTGAGCTTGTCTTCCCATCACAGGACAGTATTAATGGTGGTAATGATAGGTAACTGGAATACAGTTTAAATTTGTCACATTACACAGTCTTGCTACACTCCCACAAGACTTTCATGAAATGCTAATTTGCTGCTGAAATAAATAAAGCTTAGATACATATTTATGCTAAGCTTGTCATATCTGCATGAATACAGTGCTAATAGCCATAGATGTTACAGCACCTTTATCAAGCAAAAAAAAAAAAAAAAAAAAAAAAAAAAAGAAGGTGCATGAGTTACTGTTTTCTTTTTCATCATTGACAGATAATTGCATGTAGACTATTCTGTTTGTGTAGTTAAGTGCTGTGAGTGATGCACATCTATGACCCTGCTGGAGCCTCCCTGTGTGTGTTACAGTATTAGCAACTCCAAAGGTATAGTATATATCACAAGGCTTTCCCATCATTTTTCTGTTTTTTTCATTCATGGTTCTTGATGTATATATATTAGTCAGATGTGTTTTTATTCTTTTCTTCTTAAATTTGTAATTTTCATTACCAGATGTAAACTAGTGGTAAGTTTTTAAATTTCTTTCTGTGGTGGTTAATTTAGTTGCAGGGAAGATTTTCTTCATGACTATTATTACATTCATGGAGAAGTGCTAAATATGTATTCCCTTTGTGACATAATTATAATTAATATTATTTATTAGGAAGATTCGTAGCCTGAGAGTGACGTTGGTGACTGGTGTTGTTAATTAAGATCATCAGGTTGAGCTTACAGACTACACATTCTGTTTAGCCTAGAGAACGAATGGATTTGTCAGTTAAAAACAGAGTAGGGGAGTTAGTAGATGGGGAGCTGGAGGTATTGGGTAGATGGCGGGAATATTTTGAGGAACTTTTAAATGTCGATGAAGTAAGGGAGGCAGTAATTTCATGCACTGGTCGGGGAGGTACAAGATCTTTTAGGAGTGAAGAAGACCAGGATGTGAGTGTGGGGGAGGTGCGTTACTCATTATGTAGAATGAAAGGAGGTAAAGCAACTGGAACTGATGCTATTATGACAGAAATGTTAAAAGCAGGGGGGGGGGGATATAGTGTTGGAGTGGTAGGTATTTTGTTTAATAAATGTATAAAAGAGGGGAAGGTACCTAGGGATTGGTAGAGAGCTTGTATAGTTCCTTTATATAAAGGGAGGGAGGACAAGAGAGATTGTAAAAATTATAGGGGAATAAATTTACTGAGTATACCAGGAAAAGTGTAGGGTAGGGGATGTGTAGATCAAGTGTTTACATTGAAGCATATATGTGAACAGTATTTAGATAAAGGTAGGGAAGTTTTCATTGCATTTATGGATTTAGAAAAGGCATATGATAGTGTGGATAGGGGAACAATGTGGCAGATGTTGGAAATATATGGAATAGGGAGTAAGTCGTCCTCGAAAAGGTTGGAAGGAAGGGGTAACGGAGGTTTTGTGGGCGAGGGGCTTGGACTTCCAGCAGGTGTGCATGAGCGTGTTCGATAGGAGTGAATGGAGACGAATGGTATTTGGGACCTAACGATCTGTTGAAGTGTGAGCAGGGTAATATTTAGTGAAGGGATTCAGGGAAACCGGTTATTTTTATATAGCCGGACTTGTGTCCTGGAAATGGGAAGTACAATGCCTGCACTCTAAAGGAGGGGTTCGAGATATTAGCAGTTTGGAGGGATATGTCGTGTATCTTTATAAGTATGTGTTTTATTTTTTTTTTTTTTTTTTATTATCACACTGGCCGATTCCCACCAAGGCAGGGTGGCCCGAAAAAGAAAAACTTTCACCATCATTCACTCCATCACTGTCTTGCCAGAAGGGTGCTTTACACTACAGTTTTTAAACTGCAACATCAACACCCTTCCTTCAGAGTGCAGGCACTGTACATCCCATCTCCAGGACTCAAGTCCGGCCTGCTGGTTTCCCTGAACCCCTTCATAAATGTTACTTTGCTCACACTCCAACAGCACGTCAAGTATTAAAAACCATTCGTCTCCATTCACTCCTATCAAACACGCTCACGCACGCCTGCTGGAAGTCCAAGCCCCTCGCACACAAAACCTCCTTTACCCCCTCCCTCCAACCTTTCCTAGGCCGACCCCTACCCCGCCTTCCTTCCACTACAGACTGATACACTCTTGAAATCATTCTGTTTCGCTCCATTCTCTCTACATGTCCGAACCACCTCAACAACCCTTCCTCAGCCCTCTGGACAACAGTTTTGGTAATCCCGCACCTCCTCCTAACTTCAAACTACGAATTCTCTGCATTATATTCACACCACACATTGCCCTCAGACATGACATCTCCACTGCCTCCAACCTTCTCCTCGCTGCAACATTCATCACCCATGCTTCACACCCATATAAGAGTGTTGGTAAAACTATACTCTCATACATTCCCCTCTTTGCCTCCAAGGACAAAGTTCTTTGTCTCCACAGACTCCTAAGTGCACCACTCACCCTTTTCCCCTCATCAATTCTATGATTCACCTCATCCTTCATAGACCTATCCGCTGACACGTCCACCCCCAAATATCTGAATACATTCACCTCCTCCATACTCTCTCCCTCCAATCTGATATCCAATCTTTCATCACCTAATCTTTTTGTTATCCTCATAACCTTACTCTTTCCTGTATTCACTTTTAATTTTCTTCTTTTGCACACCCAACCAAATTCATCCACCAATCTCTGCAACTTCTCTTCAGAATCTCCCAAGAGCACAGTGTCATCAGCAAAGAGCAACTGTGACAACTCCCACTTTGTGTGATTCTTTATCTTTTAACTCCATGCCTCTTGTCAAGACCCTCGCATTTACTTCTCTTACAACCCCATCTATAAATATATTAAACAACCACGGTGACATCACACATCCTTGTCTAAGGCCTACTTTTACTGGGAAATAATTTCCCTCTTTCCTATGTACTCTAACTTGAGCCTCACTATCCTCGTAAAAACTCTTCACTGCTTTCAGTAACCTACCTCCTACACCATACACCTGCAACATCTGCCACATTGCCCCCCTATCCACCCTGTCATATGCCTTTTCCAAATCCATAAATGCCACAAAGACCTCTTTAGCCTTATCTAAATACTGTTCACTTATATGTTTCACTGTAAACACCTGGTCCACACACCCCCTACCTTTCCTAAAGCCTCCTTGTTCATCTGCTATCCTATTCTCCGTCTTACTTTTAGTATGTGTATATGCTTCTAAACTGTTGTGTTTTGAGCACCTCTGCAAAAACAGTGATTATGTGTGAGTGAGGTGAAAGTGTTGAATGATGATGAAAGTATTTTCTTTTTGGGGAGTTTCTTTCTTTTTGGGTCACCCTGCATCGGTGGAAGATGGCCGACTTGTTAAAAAAAAAAAAAAGGTAGTAAGTTACTAAATGCTGTTAAGAGTTTTTATGAGGATAGTGAGGCTCAGTTTAGGGTGTGTAGAAGAGAGGGAGATTACTTCCTGGTAAAAGTAGGTCTTAGACAGTGATGTATAATGTACAAAATGGGAGTTGACACAGTTACTTTTTGCTGATGATACTGTGCTTATGGGAGATTCTAAAGAAAAGTTGCAAAGGTTAGTGGATGAGTTTGGGAGTGTGTGTAAAGGTAGAAAGTTGAAAATGAACCTAGATAAGAGTAAGGTGATGAGGGTATCAAATGATTTAGATAAAGAAAAATTGGATATCACATTGGAGAGAGGGAGTATGGAAGAAGTGAATGTTTTCAGATATTTGGGAGTTGACGTGTCAGCAGATGGGTTTATGAAGGATGAGGTTAACCATAGAATTGATGAAGAAAAAAAAAGATGAGTGGTGCGTTGAGGTATATGTGGAGACAAAAAACGTTATCTATGGAGGCAAAGTAGGGAATGTATGAAAGTATAGTGGTACCTACACTCTTACATGGGTGTGAAGCTTGGGTTGTAAATGCAGCAGCGAGGAGGCGGTTGGAGACAGTGGAGATGTCCTGTCTAAGGGCAGTGTGCGTTGCTAATATTATGCAGAAAATTCGGAGTGTGGAAATGAGGAGAAGGTGTGGAGTTAATAAAAGTATTAGTCAGAGGGCTGAAGAGGGGTTTTTGAGTTGGTTTGGTCATTTAGAGAGAATGGATCAAAGTAGAATGACATGGAGAGCGAATAAATCTGTAGGGGAAGGAAGGCGGGGTAGGGGTCTTCCTCGAAGAGGTTGGAGGGAGGGGGTAAAGGAGGTTTTGTGGGCGAGGGGCTTGGACTTCCAGCAAGCATGCATGAGCATGTTAGGAGTGAATGGAGACAAATGGTTTTTGGGACCTGACGAGCTGTTGGAGTGTGAGCAGGGTAATACGTATTTAGCGAAGGGATTCGGGGAAACTGGTTAGGTATTTTTATATAGCCGGACTTGAGACTGGAAATGGGAAGTACAATGCCTGCACTTTAAAGGAGGAGTATGGGATATTAGCAGTTTGGAGGGATATGTTATATATCTTTATACGTATATGCTTCTAAACTGTTGTGTTCTGAGCACTCTGCAAAAACAGTGATTGTGTGAGTGAGGTGAAAGTGTTAAATGATGATGAAAGTATTTTCTTTTTGGGGATTTTCTTTCTTTTTGGGTCACTCTGCCTCGGTGGGAGACGGCTGACTTGTTGAAAAAAAAATTATTTATTTTTTTTATAAATAATTCACATTAAGCACTAAACCCATGCGAGTCATTCAGCGCAAGACGTGAAGGTGGAGGCTCAATCCTCTGTTTGCTGAGTGCCAGACAGATGCGCTTCCCACATGTACTCACTCTCTTTATGACAAAGTGGATTTTAAGTAATGTAGCTGCTGGTTTGCACTTGAAAATTATTTGAAAACTGGAAGATACAGATAACTTTTATAAAATAGTGAGAAAATCAATAAGAAATCTTGTATTGTTGTTTTTATTTAGTGTTTGGTATGTACTTGCATATGTATGCATTTTGAGGTTTGAACTCTAGATCCTGACTCTGTCTCTTTACTTCTATTCAATTCACAAAGTTGGCTCTTAGCCCTTTCCATTCTACTACTAATATATACATCTTCCAACTCATCCCAATTTGCTTCATTCTCTCTAAATATCTAAACCACCTCAACAACCCCTCAGCCCTCTGCATAATACTTTAAGTAACCCACACTTCCTCCTAATCTGCAGGCCACAAAAAATATCTTGTAAGCTTTTCTATGAATGTGAGTTGGGTCTGGGGAGCATCAGGACCCTGATGGTGAGGTCTTTGGTGGAAGACTTGGCTATAGTAACTGCACTGGCATTGCTTCTTGCAAAGGGTCTCTCTGGTATTATGGCCTACTTCTTCAGGAATCTGGGTTTCTTGGAGGTGGTATTGTTGGTAGAGTTAAAGATTTTCGGAGCTCTGTGTTAAATTTAAATAAAAATTTTGTATTTCTTATGAGCAATACAAATTAATTACTGCAGTTATACATTTGAACTGATTATATTTTAAATATGATCTTATTATAATATTAATATTATTTGGTGTAGTATAAGGCTTAGAAGAAAGTCAGTAATTATGCAGATGCATTTTTGGCAAACTAATCATAAGGCTTACATAGTATACTACTTATATCAAGACCTACTATATAATTAAAGTCAGTACAGTTTGGGTAATTGATTACAATCATAAGTACGAGATAGGCTGCAAAAGAAGAATTTATCAAATACAATGAAATTACGTTGCTTCAGTGGCCTGCATTTTATGGAGTGGTTGAAGTGAGGTTTTGAAATCAAAGCATGAAAACTTACAGACAGTTAATATATATAGTATGCATGTAAGATTTAATAGGTGCTTTTCAACAGAATTAGTAAGGATGTTGGCAAATAGGGAACTTTTGGCATTTTCAGCCAATGAGTTCCAAATTTTTGGGCCTTGGTATGTGCATGGGGGTGTACGAACAAGTTCAAGTCATACATGTTTAATGTCAGAGATGCTTGGTCCTTGTATTGTGTCCATTTGCTCTGCTGCAGCTCTCTAGATAGAATTTAAGCTATGAGTTAATGGTTGAATTGAGTGTCCTGTAGACATAGCATGCACAGTAGAAAGTGTGAATACTTTGTACATTAAGCAAATTTAAGCTTTTGAATAAGGGGGTAGGGTGTTGCGAGCCTGAATGAGTAATTATTCTGAGAGGTAATTTTTGCTAAGTAACAACAAGTTCAAGGTGATTAGCTGCTGCTGTTCCCTGTACACAGATTTTGAAGGTGCGGTATGGATAGATTACAGAGTAGTACAAAGTGAGCAGAGATGTTTGGAGAACCTAATAGTATATTTTTGAGAGAATGCCGTATATTTTGGATTTTTTTTTAGAAATGTTCTGGATTCTTTCTTTTCTTTCAACGTACCAGCCGTATCCCACTGAGGTGGGGTGGCCCAAAAGGAAAAACAAAAGTTTCGCCGTTGAAATTTAGTAATATATACAGGAGAAGGGGTTACTAGCCCCTTGCTCCCGGCTTTTAGTCGCCTCTTATGACACGCATGGCTTACGGAGGAAGAATTCTGTTCCACTTCCCCATGGAGAAAATTTTCTGGATGTGTATGCTAAATTTTAGGTGCTGTTCAGGTGTATTCCCAGGAATATATCCTCATCCTGCCTATCAATTTGGTATATTATTTATCTTTATTTGTTTTGTATCCAAACATTATATAGGTCCTTTAACCCTTTGAGGGTCGACAGGCCCTCTCAGAAACTCGTTCTCAGGGTCGGCCAAATTTAAAAAAAAAAAAAATAATTTTTTCTTATGAAAAGATAGAGAATCTTTTCCCGGTCATAATGACACCTAAATTATGAGATTTGATGGAAAACTTACGGAATTATGCTCTCGCGAAGTTAGCGGTCTCGGTGATGTTTACGCATTGGCGATTTTGCCCACTTTGAGCCCCATTTTCGGCCAATTCCACTGTACTAGTCGACAAAAAACATGAATATTTCGCTAGAACTACATTTTTTCTATTGATTAAGTGCAAGAAACCACCCATTTACCATTTTCAACTATCCAATACAGTGGTCAGATTTTGGCAATTTTGCCAATTTCACACAAATTTCAAAAAATGCCAATTTCCGAATAGGGTCCAGAACAAACAAGAAATACATTCCTGGCACTAAAATGACATTTCCTCTGTTCATTAGTCATGTCTCAAGGCCCCTCTTACATTCTTTTGCTTTCCACTTTGAATTTTTATTCTCACAAAAAATAGAAGATTTACTGTTATGCAGACTACTGCATTAGTATAAAAAATGGTATAAATCATATTGGCGCACTTGCAAAAGAATATTAGACTCACCAGTTGACGTGTATTCGACGCTTTGCATGATTTGTTTACTTTTGAACTTTGGTAAAAATCGAACATTTCTGCTACTTTGAGCTCAATTTCAAGGTACTTTTCATTCTAAAACCAGTCAAAATCATCTCAATTTCTGTGATATGCCTTCCATTCTATAAAATGCGACCAAGAAAACTAGAATACAACAATAAATACCATACGAAAATACAGTGCAAAGTCACTGTTTCATTCCAAAAAAACGGTCAAAGTTTTTTTTTCTCATTATTCACTGTGTGCTGCAGGATTTTTTTTATACCGTGCACACTGACCACATAGACCCATTCTTTCATATGGAGGCCTACCAGCCTTTTCCCGCGAGATTTGACGGCGCTAGAATTTATGCGTACTAGTACGTCAAAAAACCCTGCGCGTAAGACGTACTAGTACGTCCGAAACCCTCAAAGGGTTAAATATTGAGTGTGTTTGTTAGTTGTGATCCACATAGATATTTTAGCAAGTTCGGCATTTACTGTTTCAAGTGTAAGCATATGAATGCATGGGAGATGTATTGGAATTCTTCAAAGAATTCCAGACTGGAGATACTTCCTGCTGATTCCTTGCTGCCACCTGACAGGGCTATTAGATGACTTAACTCCTTCACCTAATCTTCACTACCGACTTGTTTCCTGTACCATATATGTATATCCACATTGTGTCCTCTCATTCTTTTGTATCATTTGAAGTGACTAAGGTCCAAAACATTTCCAATAAAAGTGTCCTCAGTTGTAACGACTTATGTCCCTTCGTCCACATACATACACACCTACCTGAGTTTTTAAAGAAATTAGTCTTGCAGTGTTTCTATAGGCACATTTTTAGAAGACTGTGTTTAAAATAATATTTATTGACATTTTTCTGTAATTCAACATTTGTAATGCTTTGCTTGTGAAAAAATGATTTATGGTTTTCCTAGATATTTTGTGTATAGATTCTTTGAATAAAGAAGGGAAGTTAAATAAGCTGTGCTAAATAACTAACTGTACTAAATAAATTAACAAGTTAAATAACCAGTAACAAGTTAATAGTATACCAAATAACAAGTATTTATTTTAACCATCATAAAATAATAGTTCAGTGCTATCTTGAAATAATGAATGCAATTTTTAATTTATCATAAAGTCTAAGTCATTATGAAAAGCAAATACAGAGGTTACATTCATCAGTTTGTAAATTGTTAAGTATATTTCTATTACCATATCAGTTATAGTTTAGCTTCTTATTGTTTTCAAAGGAATACAAAGAGCTAAATTGTTTATTTTATATGCAGCCTTTACTTGGACGTCTCATGGTGGGCTCGGATGTTCACATTGATGCAAAATACAAGGATGCTTTCTATGTTAACTGGAACTGGGCTCGCATTCGTCAGTCATGTGTGATGCTCAATGTGTCAGTCCTTCTCAGTCTTCTGTGTGTTGGAGTGGGTCTTCTTATCCAGGTGAGTGATATAGTCTCTCTTAATACAGTATACATTAACATAATCAGATGTGTTGAAGCACTGGTGCACTCACTAAATTTATTTTTCTCTGTGAATTGATATAGTGTTTAAGATAATGTAAATACTAAAGACTGGATACCACCCAAACAGTGACAACACTTAACACTTTAGGAGTGTAAATCTACAGTTTGATTCACAGTTAGTTCATCTCCATACCAGATGTGGTGAACTGTCAGAGCAGAATCTGTGTACTAAGCAAAATGAATCTAGATCACTGCCCACCAGGAAGTGCAAGTGAAAAAGTCTAAATTTACCAAAGGTATGGAGGTGCATGTGTAACTGTTGCAGTGTTAACTGTTTACCTCCAAGCGATGCTCTCAGAAGGAAGTTGTAGGTGGTTGGGATGGCATGCAACCTTTAGGCCCTACTTGGGTTTGAAAGGAAAAATTCCACTGCACATGATACCCAGATTATGCGTGTCCTTTGATACTATGCTGAGTCTTTCACAATATATCAAGGTTTGTAAACAGTGTTGGCGGCAGCAAAGGTTGATAGGAAGGGGTAAGGGAGGTTTTGTGGGCGAGGGGCTTGGACTTCCAGCAGGCGTGCATGAACGTGTTCGATAGGAGTGAATGGAGACGAATGGTATTTGGGACCTGACGATCTGTTGGAGTGTGAGCAGGGTAATATTTAGTGAAGGGATTCAGGGAAACCGGTTATTTTTATATAGCTGGACTTGAGTCCTGGAAATGGGAAGTACAATGCCTGCACTCTAAAGGAGGGGTTCGGGATATTAGCAGTTTGGAGGGATATGTTGTGTATCTTTATATGTATATGCTTCTAAACTGTTGTGTTCTGAGCACCTCTGCAAAAACAGTGATTATGTGTGAGTGAGATGAAAGTGTTGAATGATGATGAAAGTATTTTCTTTTTTGGGGATTTTCTTTCTTTTTTGGGTCACCCTGCCTCGGTGGGAGACGGCCGATTTGTTAAAAAAAAAAAAAATCAAGAGTTTTAAGCACTATGGAATATTGATTGTAATTTTTCAATCATGTTGCCACAAAATCACACTGTGATTGTTCATTATGTGTACTACACATATATGGCAATACTTTATTTTATTTTTATGCTTAACTCCATACTATTATATTATTATTAATTATTTTTATTATCACACCGGCCGATTCCCACCAAGGCAGGGTGGCCCGAAAAAGAAAAACTTTCACCATCATTCACTCCATCACTGTCTTGCCAGAAGGGTGCTTTACACTACAGTTTTTAAACTGCAACATTAACACCCCTCCTTCAGAGTGCAGGCACTGTACTTCCCATCTCCAGGACTCAAGTCCGGCCTGCCGGTTTCCCTGAATCCCTTCATAAATGTTACTTTGCTCACACTCCAACAGCACGTCAAGTATTAAAAACCATTTGTCTCCATTCACTCCTATCAAACACGCTCACGCATGCCTGCTGGAAGTCCAAGCCCCTCGCACACAAAACCTCCTTTACCCCTCCCTCCAACCCTTCCTAGGCCGACCCCTACCCCGCCTTCCTTCCACTACAGACTGATACACTCTTGAAGTCATTCTGTTTCGCTCCATTCTCTCTACATGTCCGAACCACCTCAACAACCCTTCCTCAGCCCTCTGGACAACAGTTTTGGTAATCCCGCACCTCCTCCTAACTTCCAAACTACGAATTCTCTGCATTATATTCACACCACACATTGCCCTCAGACATGACATCTCCACTGCCTCCAGCCTTCTCCTCGCTGCAACATTCATCACCCACGCTTCACACCCATATAAGAGCGTTGGTAAAACTATACTCTCATACATTCCCCTCTTTGCCTCCAAGGACAAAGTTCTTTGTCTCCACAGACTCCTAAGTGCACCACTCACTCTTTTTCCCTCATCAATTCTATGATTCACCTCATCTTTCATAGACCCATCTGCTGACACGTCCACTCCCAAATATCTGAATACGTTCACCTCCTCCATACTCTCTCCCTCCAATCTGATATTCAATCTTTCATCACCTAATCTTTTTGTTATCCTCATAACCTTACTCTTTCCTGTATTCACCTTTAATTTTCTTCTTTTGCACACCCTACCAAATTCATCCACCAATCTCTGCAACTTCTCTTCAGAATCTCCCAAGAGCACAGTGTCATCAGCAAAGAGCAGCTGTGACAACTCCCACTTTGTGTGTGATTCTTTATCTTTTAACTCCACGCCTCTTGCCAAGACCCTCGCATTTACTTCTCTTACAACCCCATCTATAAATATATTAAACAACCACGGTGACATCACACATCCTTGTCTAAGGCCTACTTTTACTGGGAAAAAATTTCCCTCTTTCCTACATACTCTAACTTGAGCCTCACTATCCTCGTAAAAACTCTTCACTGCTTTCAGTAACCTACCTCCTACACCATACACTTGCAACATCTGCCACATTGCCCCCCTATCCACCCTGTCATACGCCTTTTCCAAATCCATAAATGCCACAAAGACCTCTTTAGCCTTATCTAAATACTGTTCACTTATATGTTTCACTGTAAACACCTGGTCCACACACCCCCCACCTTTCCTAAAGCCTCCTTGTTCATCTGCTATCCTATTCTCCGTCTTACTCTTAATTCTTTCAATTATAACTCTACCATACACTTTACCAGGTACACTCAACAGACTTATCCCCCTATAATTTTTGCACTCTCTTTTATCCCCTTTGCCTTTATACAAAGGAACTATGCATGCTCTCTGCCAATCCCTAGGTACCTTACCTTCTTCCATACATTTATTAAATAATTGCACCAACCACTCCAAAACTATATCCCCACCTGCTTTTAACATTTATATTTATATTTATATTTATATTTGTAACAGATGCCACAAGGGTCTGAGTGTGATCCTGCACATACCTGGTGGCAAGGGTCTGTCATGTATGAAGTTTACATTCCAAGTTTTCAAGACTCTAATGCAGATGGAGTTGGTGATTTACCTGGGCTCATTTCAAAGCTTGATTATATCCAGGTAAGTGTCACCATAAGAACAGGATATCCCATAATTTTGTTATTAATTACTGTAGCTGAGAGTGTAATATTATTTTGTCTAAGCTGTATATTCATTCTTAATATTTCTGACAAAGAGATCATCTGTTTTTGGGTAATAAAAGTTTTACATTTAAAAGTTATGCTTTATTCTAGTAGCATGATTCCTTCATAGAGTACTGATTTAGGGTCTTTAAACATTTAGCATATGAGAGGACAGATCCCTAGCACATCCTCCCTGGGTTGTCCTCACCCAGTCAACTGCAGAAGCTATACTGTTCACTGACAAAGAAATGAAACCAACCCCCACTTCAGTTCCTGTCACAGAGACCTTTACACTCTAACCTTTCTAGTACATACTGTACTACCCTCTTCCCTGCTTGTAATACTATAACATCCTATAACAATAAATCATTTTCTCCCTCCCCAACCCTGTCATATTCTTTTGCCCATCTGCTCTTCAGTTTCTTCCCTTCACTTCTTTCTTGTATGCACTTATGATACTCGGAGTAACATCATATTTAGATCAATATGTTGTCAGAAAAGTACATTATTGTTTTATAAAAAAAAATTACGTTTCATAGCTCTTTGAATAAAATCAAATGCCTGAACCCCTTAAGCAACTCTTAATCTTAAGCCTCCTTTTCTTTTTCTTTTTTATATATTATTCTAAGACATAGAGTAAAACTAATCAAAAGTATGTGTTTAACTATATGCCTTCTCTGTTAGAACTTAGGGATACGGGCTGTGAGAGTTAATTCCATCATGGAAGCTAGTGACTACCTCAGCAGCCACAACTTCATCACCAATTACACTGCTGTTGATCCGCTTCTGGGTGACTCAAATGATGTCAAGCTGCTGGCAGCTCTTTTACATGAGAAGGATATGTATTTATTGATGGATATGCCACTAAGTTCTCTGCGAGCTGAAATTCCTGGTAAGCCATTTTTTTTCTTTTAATGTTTTTGTTTAAAGGTCATTAAATTTATTAATTACTGCATATAGCAATTGAATGAGGAGGAGGTTGGAGGCAATGTAGCTGTCAGGTTTGAAAGTAACATGTAATGTGAATATTATGCAAAAAATTAGGAGCACAGAAAATAGAAAACAATGTGGGGTTATGAAAGTTTTCACATGAAAGTGGAGGAGGGGTTGTTGAGGTGGTTTTTCTTTTTAGAAAAGGAGTAGCAGGATAGGATGACACAGGGTATATAAATCAGGGGTGGAAGGAAGGAAGGATGTGTTAAGGGTTGTCCCTGGAAGGGATGCAAGGAGGAAAGGGGGGGGGGGGCGAAGAAAGTTTCAAGTGGGAGAAGCATGAGCAGCCAGCAGGCATGTGTTAACATGTTAGATTGGAGTGAGATAAGTAAGTTGAGAAAGCCTAGGGAACGAATAGATTCGACGGTTAAAAACAGAAAAAGAGTGGGCTTGTCAGAAAGTGGGTCAATGAAAGATGAACCATAAAACTGATGAGGGGGTAAAAAGGTGGGTGGTGCATTGAGGCATCTGTAGAGACAAAGAATGTTATCTATGGAGGCAAAAAGGGGAATGTATGCAAGTATAGTGGTACCAACACTTTTATGTGAGTGTTAGTTTAATATCTTTATTGTGCACCCCATACCCATCCTGTGGGTGGTAGTCAAAAGATTACAGAGGTACATAATGGGTCCAGCGACTGAGCTGCAAAGTTTTGATATGAGTGTGAAGCATGAGTTGTGAATGTTGCAGCCAAGAGGAGGCTGGAGGCAGTAGCGATGTCATGTTTTAGGGTAATTTGTTGTGTGAATATTATGCAGAGAATTTGTAGCTTGGAGATCAGGAGGAGGTGTGGGGTTACTGAAAGTATTATCCAGAGAGGTGAGGAGGGGTTTATGAGGTAGTTTGGAGATTTAGAAAGGATGAAGCAAAATAAGAACACTTGGGTGTATAAATGTAGTGGAGGAAAGCTGGGGTAGGAGTCACCCTAGGAAAGGTTGGAGAGATGGGGTAAAGGATGCTTTGTGTGTGAGCATGTTAGGTAGAAGTGAGTGGAGCATATGAATTTGGGACTTGACTAGCTGTTAGAGTGTGAACAAAATAACATTTATGAAGGGATTCAGAGAAACCAGTTAGCCAGATTTGAGTCCTGGAAGTGAAAAGTACAGTGCCTGCACTCTGAAGGAGGGGTGGGGATATTTGCAGTTTGGAGGGGCATCTGTAGTATTGGCACACCTCTGGCAAGACAGTGATAGTGAATGATGGTGACAATGTTTCTTCTTTTTCTGGTCACCCTACCTCAGTGGGAGACCCAAGTGTGTTAATAAAGAAAAAATACAGGAGGGCCCCATGTTTTTGGTTCACTCTTTTCGTTGTCCCACTTTTTCAGCATTTTCAATTGATCCAATGTTCATTATGTTCAGTGCTTTTTCAGCTTTTCCATCATTTTTGCACAACAGTTACACAAGGGAAAGGCAAACAGTGCCGTATTTTAAGGTAAGCATTGTATGTACTGTGTACCTTTTTTTTCTTTTTATGCCTAGCTGTATTGAGCACTTATTATGTGATAGTGCAAACTCGTTATAAGGCTTTTTAGATGCATTTGATATTTAAAAATGCTCTTTTCTACTTGCTGGTAATTTTCATTTATTGGTGGGGCCAGAAAATTAACAACTGTAAAAACGGGACCCTCCTGTATTTACCATATGTTCTTGTTGCTGAAGATAGTTTTTAAATAATTGGTTTTGTAATATATGCAGTCTTGATCTTTTGTGAATTGTTCTCTATTTTGTCTCTTTGCAGTTACAGCCAATATTGTTTTTGAAGATTTGGTGGGAAATAAAGGAAATATCCTTAGTGTAAGTCTAGCAGAAGTTTACCCAGTGCTGAAATACTGGTTGTCTCTCGGAGTTGATGGATTTTTTTTCACAGATATCACTGAGGTATGTGTCATTTGTCATTAATGTTTATTGCCATTTATATAAAATTAATGCAAAAGGAATATAATATCATTTTATTAGTGATTACAATTTATTATACTCGTAAGTACTTCCATAGCATGGGTGTGTAAAGGAAGAAAGCTGAAAGTGAACATAGATAAGAGTGAGGTGATGAGGGTATCAAACGAGTTAGGTAAAGAAAAATTGGATATCACATTGGAGGGAGGGAGAGAGTATGGGAGTGAATGTGTTCAGTTATTTGGGATGGGTTTATGAAGGACGAGGTAAATCATAGAATTGATGAAGGTAAAAGGGTGGGTGGTGCAGTGAGGTATCTGTGGAGACAAAAAACGTTATCCATGGAGGCAAAGAAGGGAATGTATTAGAGTATAGTGGTACCAACACTCTTATATGGGTGTGAAGCATGGGTTGTAAATGCTGCAGCAAGAAGGAGGCTGGAGGCAATGGAAATGTCATGTCTAAGGGGCAATGTGTGGTGTAAATATTATGCAGAGAATTCGTTGTGTGAAAATTAGGAGGAGGTGCGGAGTTACTAAAAGTATTATTCAGAGGACTGAGGAGGGGTTGTTGAGGTGGTTTGGTCATATAGAGAGGATGGAGCAAAATAGGATGTTTTGGAGGGTGTATAAATCTGTAGTAGAAGGGAGGAGGGGGAGGGGTTCATCCTAGAAAAGGATGGAGGGAAGGGGTAAAAGATATTTTGTGTACAAGGGACTTTAACATGCAGCAGGTATGTGTGAGCTTGTTAGATAGGAGTGAATGGAGATGAATGGTTTTTGGGACTTTACAAACTGTTGGAGTGTGAACATGGTAATATTTTGTGAAGGGATTCAGGGAAACCAGTTAGCCGGACTTGAGTCCTGGAAATGGGAAGTACAATGCCTGCACTTTAAAGGAGGGGTTTGGGATATTGGCAGTTTGGAGTGACTTTCAAAACTGTTGTATCTGGGCGCCTCTGCAAAGACAGTGATTATGTATGAGTGATGGTGAAAGTGTTGAATGATAATGAAAGTTTTTTCTTTCTTTTTGGGTTTTTCTTTCTTTTGGGTCACCCTGCCTTGGTGGGAAACGACGAACGTGTTAAAAAATATATCTATATATATAAATTTCTGTATGATAGTAGGCTGGTAGACAGCAGCTGCCCAGGGAAGTACTACCTGCCAAGTGAGTGTAAAACGGAAGCCTGTACTTGTTTTACATGATGGTAGAATTGCTGGTGTCATTTCTGTCTCATAAACATGCAAGATTTCAGGTACATCTTGCTACTTCCACTTACACTTAGGTCACACTACACATACATGTACAAGCATATACATATATACACACCCCTCTGGGTTTTCTTCTATTTTCTTACTCGTTCTTGTTCTTGTTTATTTCCTCTTATCTCCATGGGGAAGTGGAACAGAATTCTTCCTCCGTAAGCCATACGTGTTGTAAGAGGCGACTAAAATGCTGGGAGCAAGAGGCTAGTAACCCCTTCTCATGTATAAATTACTAAATGTAAAAAGAGAAACTTTGCTTTTCTTTTTGGGTCACCCTACCTCAGTGGGATATGGTTGGTTTGTTGAAAGAAGAATATATATTTCTGCTGTTTTAGGCCTATTTCAGGCCACTTCTGGTCTGAAATTGATCAAAATCAACTCCATTTCACAAGAGTCTTTGATATGTCAATTGGCACCAATAGTCATCCAATAAAATCATAAAAACATCCTAGAGAATACTTCAAAGTTGCTATTTTAACCCAGGGGTCAGAAGTTCACTGTTCCCAGCATGCACTGCATGGGGCAGTATTTTTTTTTTTTTATGCTATACTTGCCCACTGCACAAACCCATTCTCTCGTGGCTTGGCCAAAATTTTTCTAATCACAGTACATATGAGAGCACTTTGAGACGTAAATCTGTGTGAGCAGCACTAGCCTCAATAACATAGATCTTTGTAAGCAACACTGGCCTCAGTGACATAGATTTACAGGTGAGACAGTGAAGGAGTTAATAGCACTAACATAGTCCAAGATTGTTGTCCTTATACAGTACTATATAAAGGCTTTTTGCACCCTTCTGGATGTTACATAAGATGTTAGAGGTGGAAATAAAATTTTTTTACCACATTCGCTATTTTCAACAAAGATGGTGTGACTCAGTGAAGGAAACACATTCACCATTACTTACTCTGAACTGCAACACCCTCACTCATCTTTCATCTTTTTGAAGTAAAGTTACAGTATTTGTTAAAAAAAAAATTTATATGAAGAGCTATCACTGACTTAGTTTTTACATGCCATTCTTCTTTTGTAATGAGAAAAGATTCTTTTAGAGAGCTCTTCTTAGCGATATTTTATTTTGAAATTTTATAGTACATAAAACTACAATACATAAGTATGTACTGTATTGAATACTTATAAGAGCCAAATAACACAAATTTTTGTTGTGATCAGTATTCCAGTAATCCAGGTCTAGTGGAAGCCATGCACGAGTGGAGGAACATACTGGACCGCTTCAGCAGCGGCATGCACCACAAAGTAATGATGGTTCCTGAAGCCCTGCTCAACAACTTGAAGTCTATGAAGTTCTCTCATCTTAACCACCTTCTTCAGTTGGTGGACCTCATTGATGTTTCTGTGAACCTCACTGGATCAGCAGAGGTATGAGTTGATGACACTGATATTGCAGTGAACCTTAATGAAGGGTAGGGGGATGTGTAGACCATGTTTACATTGAAACATATAAGTGAACAGTATTTAGATCACGGTAAGGAAGTTTTCATTGCATTTATGGATTCAGAAAAAGCCCATGATAGAGTGGATAGGAGAGCAATGTGGCAGACATTAGCTGGACTTGTGTTCTGTAGGTGGGAAGTACAGTGCCTGTATTCTGAAGGAGAGGTGGAGATATTGCAATTTGGAGGGGCATCTGAACTGTAATGTAAGCTCACCTCTGGCAAGATGGTGATGGCCTGAATGGTGGTGAAAGTGTTTCTTCTTTTCTGGGATCACCCTACCTCATTGGGAGATGGCTGGTGTGTTGAAAAGCAAAATCTGTGTAGAATGAAAGCTTCCTAAGAAAGTGCTCAATGTCATTGAAAATTACTTTTAACCAAATTGTCTGGTTTTTGACTCACTTATATAGTCTTAACATTATGTTAACAATATACATTACATATTTTTATTATATTCATGATTAAGGTCTAAGCCCTTTTTACATATCATGCAATCTTTCCTAAATTTGCTTCTAGAGTCTCGAGAACTAGATGATTTGGTTAGAACTGCTCTTAGCATAGCACACCTCAGACCCTTCAAGGGGTGTGCCTTGATGCTGAAAAAGGGCTCCTGATCCAAGGAATTTTAGCTATTCTTCCCTTCCTTACATCATATCTAATTGCTTTTCATTCCCCAGGGTTTAATACTTCCTCATAAATATAATGATACTGTTCCATTATCTGAAGGTTATTTGATGTTGAATTCATAATACAGTTACCTGTTAGATACCTATAATTTCTGACATGGGTTTGGATATGTCTAGAATAATGTTGGCTAGGTTGATCAAGGGCCATTAGCTCAGGCTGGATTTCACTTTCTTTGTGAGTATAAGTACTTAATTTATTATGTTACATTATCTTGTAAAATTTGAAAACTGTCCAGGTTTTCTTAATGTCCCTTTTTATCCCCTGAACTGTCCAAACGTAGATCTACATTCTCTCGCCCAGCGCTCCGAATATTTTGAAAAATAATTTTTTTTTTTTTTTTTTATAACCCATAAACGGTCCAAACGTATATATACGTTTTTTCAACATTTGAAAGTATGTAAAAAAAAAAGTAGATCTTTTTGTTTTTTCACATTTGAAAATGTGTAAAAAAACTTTGATCTACTTTTTTTTTTGTTATATTTGAAAATATGTAAAAAAAAACTTAGACCTACTTTTGTAGCACTACACATGTGAACGTAGATCTGCTTGGACCGTTTACGGGTTAATGAAGAGGACATTTTTTTACATAAAGTAATGTAAGAAAAAATTCTAGAGTCAGTACTTACAGAGATAAAAGGCCGCAATGTTGGCACTTGTCACTCACCTGATGGCAACATGAAGCGCTGCCATTTGCAGATGTGTTGCCTATATACCTTTTTCTCTTTTTTTTATAATTTGTATAATTTTTATGTTCTGATAATGACAATTTGTGGTAGTTCTTGCAATTTCATTGTTAATTTTTGTTCTGACACTAATATTAGGTACTGAAATAGTGCTCAAATAGTCATAAACACAGTGACAGGTGAACATTTTTGCCTACCTTAGCCACATACTATTGTCTAGAAATATATACATAGTATTTATAGGTCCCAGCAATGTTTTGGATACACTGGAGTACATAATAATAATAAATAATAATAAGTTCACTTGAAGCTTGATATAAGTGTGTCACTTGTCTTATCTTATCTCTTCACTCCACTGCTGACAGTGATTAAGTGTAGTAAGAGTGAAAACAAATAAAGCCTTGCTTTATTTGTTTTCACTCTTACACATAAACATGTCTGTCTGTCTCTGTCTATCTATCTATCTGTTTATCTATCTGTCTATCTGTCTGTCTCAGAGTTTCTCATGAACCAGCTGGTATTACACACCATCACTATCTACAAGCACAGTAAAACACTTTGTTTGGATTTTTGGGTTATCCTAGGTAATTTACACTGTGTATAATTGTATTTACATATGTGATCCTGTGAGATAGAGACAGAGATAGATACAAACATAGAGACGGAGATAAAGACAGTCAATCAGCCAGCCAGTTGGCCAGCCAGCAGCCGGCCAGCCAGCCACGGGCTAGCCAGCTGGCCATCCAGCCTGCCGAAATTACAGTTCCAGAATTGTTTCTTTTTACTTAGGGCATAAGTTATAGGACATTCTGGCAATTTGACAATTTCCTCTTAAAAGGGGAGTGTTAATACGACATGACATCAGTGAATCCTTGGTGTTTGCCGCTCTGTTTGCTCTAGCTAGTACTCAATTTAACTGGTGCTCCCACCAGGTAAATGGTCCCAGATTTTTTTAATACAGCACACACCGAGGGTTAAGACTCATTCTATGCTGACCAGGTATCTTAGGCCAATCGTGCCAAATTTGGAGGCAGGAAAAATAAAACGTAGATCTGTGTTTGGAGCACTAGCGGTAAGAACGTAGATCTACGTTTGGACAGTTAAGGGGTTTATTCATTCAATCTGTGCAATAGTTTTTTGTTAGTGACAAATCAACAGTAACTTGAGAAAACTGGTTTCATCAGTCATGCATGATTTATGTAATATTGCATTTTACTTTAAATAGAGCTTTTTGCAATCCAGATGATTCCTGAGGTTTTGAAGTCAGCTACTGCTTGGGACAGTCACATTTCACTCCCATGGATTAATTGGAACATGGGAGGTATAGAGAGGGAACGTGTTGCTGCTCTTACCGCCCATCACCCACTTGGCCGTGCCCTACTCTTACTTTTCTTCCCAGGGACCATCACTTTGTATTACGGTGATGAACTAGGTCTATCTCAAACTTCACAGGCATGTAACCTCCATATATTTCTCATATTTTGATAGTTTTTCTATAAATGATGTGTAGTATGATTACTGTAATATGTAGATACAGGTCTCCCTCAACATTCGTGTTTTCAGCTTTCGCGGGCTTCACACATTCGCGAATTCCCAACTGCCAAATTCCCAACCGCTAAATTCCCAGCCGCCAAATCATATTTAAGTTTCCCGCCACCCGCTAGTCCCTACTACCCTCCTTCCGACCCCCAAAACTGGCAGTCAGCCCTCCCACTACTCAGTGTGGTAAGTGTTTTGTTTGTTCATTATTTGCTATTAAACTACAGTATAAATAATGTCAACCCATTCATGACTGAATATTGGAATGGCTATTCGGACAGGTATTGGACGGTGACATCGTGTTTACTCTTGAACACGGCAAAGAATCAAATATTTCTGCTACTGCTAATAATAAAATAATAATACGATAGCATTGAAGGAAATTGTACAAAAATATGAGGGTTGAAGCAGTGGTGGAAGAAGTGGTTGAGGCATCATCAGTCAGTGTGGCTTTGTTTATGCTGGAGTGAGCATTAGTTTCCACACTTCCAAACATTTCACAATAATTCATTGTGTTTGGTGCTTGTAGATTGAGTGTGACTGGAGTGGTAGAGGCAGCAGTTGAGGCAGTGGTTGAGGCAGCGGTTGAGACAATGGTTGAGGCAGTGGTTGAGGCAGTGGTTGAGGCAGTGGTTGAGGCAGTGGTTGAGGCAGTGGTTGAGGCAGCGGTTGAGGCAGTGGTTGAGGCAGCAATTGAGGCAGCGATTGAGGCAGCGATTGAGGCAGCAATTGAGGCAGTGGTTGAGGCAGTGGTTGAGGCAGCGGTTGAAGCAGTGGTATTTAACCCTTTCAGGGTCCAAGGCCCAAATCTGAAGTGGTGCCCCAGTGTCCAAGAATTTTCAAAAAAAATTTGTTATTTTTTCTTATGAAATCGTAGAGAATCTTTTTGTGAAGGTAATAAAACAAAAAGTATGAAATTTGGTGGAAAATTGACGAAATTATGCTCTCGCGAATTTTGATGTGTCAGCGATATTTACGAATCAGCGATTTTTCCAACTTTGACTCCCATTTTAGGCCAATTACATTATTCCAATCAACCAAATTCTTAGCTATTTCACTAGTATTACTTCTATTCTATCGATTGAGCACAAGAAATCGCCAAGTCAACTGTTTCAACTACAAAATAAAGTGATCGGAAATTGTTAATTTGGCCAATTTAACACAAAGTTCAAAATATTCCAATTTCAAAATAGGCTCCAGAATAAACAATGTAGGTATTCCTGGAACTAAACTAACATTTCCTCTGTTCATTAGTTACATTTTGAGGCTTTACAAATAAATTCCATTTTGATTTTTTATTCACATAATTAATTTTTATTCGCACCAAAAAATAGAAGATTTACTGTTCTGCAATACTGTAATAATTGTATAAATATCATCACCATATTTGTGAATGTATATTAGACCCACCAGCTGACGTGTATTAGATGTGTGAGGTCGTTTGTTTACTCTTGAATATCGGCAAAAATTTAACATTTCCGCTACTTTGAGCTCAGTTTCAAGCCATTTTCAGTGCTAAAACCAATCAAAATCATCTCTATTTCTGTAATATGTCTTCCATTCTATCAAATGAGACCAAGAAATCGCAAATACAACTATAAAAAACATACGAAAAAACACTGCAAAGTCGCCGTTTTAATCGAAAAATCATGATTTCAGTTTTTTTCTCTCATTATACACAGTGTGCTGCAGGATCTGTTTTATGTGGTGCACACATACCACATAGATGTATTCTCTCATATCTAGGCCCAAATGTACCACTCACAGTTTATCAGAGTGAGCTGAGCTCATGGCGTAGATCTACGGTTTGGACACTCACCGTAAAGCCGTAGATCTACGGGACGGACCCTGAAAGGGTTAATAAGATTTTTTTTTTTTTTTTTCAACAAGTCGGTCGTCTCCCACCGAGGCAGGGTGACCCAAAAAAGAAAGAAAATCCCCAAAAAGAAAATACTTTCATCATCATTCAACACTTTCACCACACTCACACATTATCACTGCTTTTGCAGAGGTGCTCAGAATACAACAGCTTAGAAGCATATACGTATAAAGATACACAACATATCCCTCCAAACTGCCAATATCCCAAACCCCTCCTTTAAAGTGCAGGCATTGTACTTCCCATTTCCAGGACTCAAGTCCGACTATATGAAAATAACCGGTTTCCCTGAATCCCTTCACTAAATATTACCCTGCTCACACTCCAACAGATTGTCAGGTCCCAAGTATCATTCGTCTCCATTCACTCCTATCTAACATGCTCATGCACGCTTGCTGGAAGTCCAAGCCCCTCGCCCACAAAACCTCCTTTACCCCCTCTTTCCAACCCTTTCGAGGATGACCCCTACCCCTCTTTCCTTCCCCTATAGATTTATATGCTTTCCATGTCATTCTACTTTGATCCATTCTCTCTAAATGGCCAAACCACCTCAACAACCCCTCTTCTGCCCTCTGACTAATGCTTTTATTAACTCCACACCTTCTCCTAATTTCCACACTCCGAATTTTCTGCATAATATTTACACCACACATTGCCCTTAGACAGGACATCTCCACTGCCTCCAACCGTCTCCTCGCTGCTGCATTTACCACCCAAGCTTCACATCCATATAAGAGTGTTGGTACTACTATACTTTCATACATTCCTTTCTTTGCCTCCATTTATAACGTTTTTTGACTCCACATATACCTCAACGCACCACTCACCTTTTTTCCCTCATCAATTCTATGATTAACCTCATCCTTCATAAATCCATCCGCTGACACGTTAACTCCCAAGTATCTGAAAACATTCACTTCTTCCATACTCCTCCTCCCCAATTTGATATCCAATTTTTCTTTATCTAAATCATTTGATACCCTCATCACCTTACTCTTTTCTATGTTCACTTTCAACTTTCTACCTTTACACACATATATATGTTATTAATAATAATAATACATGTTATTATTAATAACATGTATTATTATTATTAATAACATGTTATTAAAAACCACTCTCAACCACTGTCTCAACCACTACCTCTTCCACTGCCTCAACCACTGCCTCTACCACTGCCTCAACCACTGCCTCAACCACTGCCTCTACCACTGCCTCTACCACTGCCTCAACCACTGCCTCAACCACTGCCTCAACTACTGCCTCAACTATTGTTTCTACCACTGCCTCTACCACTCCAGCCGCACTCAATCTACAAGCACCAAACACAATGAATTATTGTGAAATGTTTGGAAGAGTGTGGAGACTAACGCTCACTCTAGCATAAACAAAGCCACACCATCAGTCAGTGTGGCTTTGTTTATGCTGGAGTGAGCATTAGTCTCCACACACTTCCAAACATTTCACAAAAACTCATTGTGTTTGGTGTTTGTAGATTGAGTGAGTGCGACTGCTACATAATTAACCATGGGCCCAAAGAAACTTGCTAGTGCCAGCCCTTTGGTAAGGAAATTGAGAAACACGATACAATTGAAGAAAGAAATTGTACTAAAATACGAGCAGTGTGCTGCATTGGTTGAGGCACTGGTGGAGGCAGTGGTATTTAATAACATACATGTTATTAAACCATAACATGTATGTATTTAGTACAATATTATATGACATTTTCATGTATTTTATGATTGTTCATGGTTCAACAAGTTAAGGAAGCAGTATTGTATTATATTTCCCTACAATATATTGGGGGCACCAAACATTCACGATTTTTCAACATTCGCAAGGCTCTTGATCCCCTAACCTTCGCGAATGTTGAGGGAGACCTGTAAATTGTGTGGTATGGGTACTGCAATAAATAGATAAATATAATGTTTATTACTTATAAAATATATAGAGTATATAGAATAGTGTTATAAAAGCTACTTATGTGAGTCTTTTAAGGTTTTCACCAAAAAGAAAAAATCTTTGAAAATTTCCTAAATTATGGATTTTTTATGCAATAAAAGTGTGGTGCCAGGAAGACTTTGTCATATTTGAGACACCTTATCTTTATTTCATAAAAAATTAAAATTATTTTTTTTAACTATACTTTCTATTAAATTTTAACCCGTAAACGGTCCAAACGCATATATACGTTTTTTCAACATTTGAAAGTATGTAAAATAGTAGATCTTTTTGTTTTTCTACATTTGAAAATGTGTAAAAAAACTTTGATCTACTTTTTTTTTTTTTGTTATATTTGAAAATATGTAAAAAAAATGTAGATCTACTTTTGTAGCACTACACATGTGAACGTAGATCTGCCTGGACCGTTTACGGGCTAAGGAAAATAAATACTAGATATGACAACTTTATGGCCTTGTTATAATAGAAAAAGTAATGCCAAGTCATATTTCAGTACAGTACTTAAGTTGTTCCACGAAAAATTGACACTTATTGGGAACAAAACAAATAACACATGTGATGAAAGGGTTAAATATAGTATATTACAGTGTTAATCTGTCAGCAGTATTGAAATTTTAAAAGTGCATGATAGATCATTAAGTTTAGCTTCAGGGTAAATATTGTTCTTCTTTCAACAAACTGACCATATTCCACTGAGGAAAGGTGACCCAGAAAGAAAAATGAAAGCTTCTCTTTTTAGATTTAGTAATGTTTACAGGAGAGGGGGTTACTACCCCCTTTCTCCTGGCATTTTTGTCACCTCTTACGACACGCACGGCTTATGGAGGAAGAATTTCAAAGTAAATATATTATACAGCCTCTCCTCACTTAGCGATGTACTCGTTTACCGACGACTCAGACTTACGACGGGCTCTGACCAGTATGCATACCTAAATAATGTATATTAGAGCTATTTCATCTATTCTGTTTATTACAATATACAGTACACTACATGTACTGTATAAATATTTAAAAATATACCAGAAATGTTATAAATGGTGCAAAGGTGACAGTAAAACAATATCATAGATGGTTGACACAAACCCACTACCATTATAGTGTGCTCCTCACTTAGCAATGAGTTCATTTACCAACGTGGTCTTTGGAACAAAACTTCATTGTTAAGTGAGAAGAGGCTGTACTCAATTTATTTTTAATTCTATGGCCATCTCCTGCCAAGGCAGGGTCACCCAAAGAAGAAAACACATCCTTCATTATTCATTTAGTCTAACTCAAGAATACTAACAACAGATTAATATTGTGATATAAAAAATGCAGTTATTTCAAACCTTGGTACATTTTTTAAAATGTGTGTACTCACTGCAGGAAAGAAGTTGGTCGACAATTATGCGTTGGAATGAAGGCAAGCATGCAGGCTTCAGCTCAGTTAAACCTTGGCAGGATTTAAGTGAGGGATGGCAAGATGACAATGTGGAGGTACAGAACCAAACCATCTCTGCCCTCAGCACCATGATTTCTGCTCGACAACAGAAAGTAAGTTTTATCAAATAAATGTAAGAAAATCTTTTGCTATTTATTGTTGAAAAAATACAATAAGGTATTGAAATGGGTTAAAGTGATGAAAATGTTCATGTCTGGGCTTCTGGCTGATGAAAATAGATAATTGTTCCAGTAAATAACAACTACTGATATCATTCCTTTTTTTTTTTTTTTTTTTTTTTTAAACAATTCTTATTCTAAGCATGACCTGTTGAGTAAAGATGTTATTGTTTATTGAGATGCGGGCTATGCTGCCATACTTGTTATAATTTATGCACTGTGGCAAAATGTAAAAATGCTCTAATTCAAGGATGCTAAAATCCCCTGCCATAAGTTTAACTTTTTACCAACTCCCAAACTTTTTCTCAAGATTACATCTTTAACAAATGGCAAGATGTACATTCTTAACCAAGTGAAATTCGAGAATGGAAATGGAGTAGAGCACTAAAGAGTGTGTAACAATACACTTTCAGCTTAATGATAGTGTATTGTACTCAGTTGTGCTTGAGGTATAGTTTTCATATTTTATGCTGTCTCATTCCTGTTATAAAAGTATGTTCCATTACTTAAATTAGTTACTGTATTTATTAGTAATGATTACCATAGCAAACATTTTTCTTAAACATGTAAAAATTCCAAGGTAGATTGTTCATCTTGTTAGTAAAATAGACTCATATTCTACACTTTGTAATTTTTTTTTTTTTTTTTTTTTGAGGAAATTTTTGTAATTGTTCTGTTCTGGCAAAATTTATCACTGAAAATGTAGAGATTATGGTAAAATTACGCATATCATTTTGTTTTTTGTCATATTGGCTTTTTCTAACCAAGGTAGTGTGTCCCAAATACGAAAACAAATTCATTGTCAGACATTCAATAGCTGTCTTACCATAAATGCAAGAATATGACACTTCAAATAATCCTCCAAACTACAACTTCACTACCCTGATTATACTATGAGTTTTGTGTGTGGAAGAGGGGAATGGTGGAACAGGTGGGCTCATGGAGGCTGGGGACATGCGAGCAAGAAATATTTTTCGCCTTATCAGCAATCTAGCTTATAAGATATTTACATAAATAAGTCATGATAAATGGAAAAGCAGATTGATCTATTATTATTTCCATTGCAGGTTCCCATATACATTAACGGCATTTTTGACTATGAAGGAGATTACCATCCAACGAAGTCAGTTAATTATAGGGTATGTACTAACTTCATTCAATAATTGTTTGTAAAATTAGATTTTGAGAAAACAACATATACAGTACCCTTTCTTTCTCTAGCATCCCTTTCTGATTTTCTTTCTCACATATACTCTCAAACACACGGTTATCATTATTATACTTAAGTGTTTTAGCCATTTGTAAATTTAATTCAGTGCTCTATTCACTTCCAGGTGAGGCACTCAGATCATGAGCTCATCATTATAGATCGTTTTTACCCTCGTCGAAATCAGTATGCTGTAGTTGCCAATCTTGGTCCTAACACTCTTGACCAGGACCTCTCTCATTTCTACTTTGGGGGCTCAGTCCTTGCATCCTCACATGGGCAGTCTGGCTATGTAATGTTCAGAAATATTGTCTTGCAACCTGGAGAAGCTCTAGCATGTATATTGGATTTATAAATACAATAGTTTGTATAAAGGTAAGGTTGCCAGTTTATCTAGGTTATTGAGAATTACAGTAATACAGTTATTACAATAATAAATGTGCCATATAAAACGGGTAATATGAGCTCATTGTTCTGTATTCTCCATTTTTATGTACAGTAAGATATTCTCCTTTTCATTTACTGATGTGACTTATGATAATATAACCAGTAGCTTTATTCAAAAATATATATTACTTTACATTTAATTTACCCAAGTAATTACTGTATACACACTGGTGCAGTGTGTATAATAATTATCAGTATTTTTTTGGTGACAGTTTTTTGCTACATAGCACAATATTATTCTCTAATATAAATTGAGTATTGTACTGTACTATCAAGTAAGCCTAAATGTTTATTCTCAAAATGTTCAAAATTATTTAACTAGTGAAAGTAATTCTTATAATCTAAATGAATACTTTTTTGCTTCAGTAGTAACACACACACAAGAAAATTAGTAAATCATGTACTATATAAATTATGGTAATGGTGGAAGGTACAAACTATACAGCATTTAATAAGGGCTGTAGGATATCATGTCTTAAAAAGGAACTCGTAAGTTAAAATTAAATAGATTTGGTGTACAGTAGGATATGCAGTCAAACGTCTTGAGTCTGGCATTCCATATTACAACAGAGCATCTATAATCTGGTATAAAAAAAAAGGTGTTTTGCAAAAAGACATGCAAAAATTGAGCTTACAGAAGTGGTTATAAAGGCCTCACCCAATTGTAAAGGTACAGAGTTTGTAGCAGCACCCACCAGACACAGTTCAATATTTTTGAACTAGCACATCATCCTCTCACTTCTGTAACTAGCTGAGCACAAACATGTCTATTTTGGAATTATCATATGGTGGTTTGAGCCTCCACTGTGAGACCCACATAGGTTTAGCACTTCACATAAATAAATGATCCTACTTCTAATACCTCAACCTCATCTGAGCTTGCTGCTACCCACAGCATGGCATTATGTACCTAACACATTATCTCTAACTTCATCTACATTGTGCAGTTTAGAAACAGGCCACAGTTTGTCCAACAGTATGTTGGTATAGGCAACAAGCTGACAAGTGGAAAGAATAACACACAGCATGCAAGGAAACCTAGAAAATAACTGTATTGGCAGTCCCTGGTCATTTCAGTATTTTGGACAATGAAATAGCAGACTCCTGTGTATATCTGGTGGTTCAGAACCTTTGAGTTTTCCCCATGCAACTAACATTCATAGAATATTACAGTACTGTACTTGCTTTTCATGCTCTGTAATATAAGTTGGGAATTGTAACAATTCCTGTTTAAAGATGTTACAGTTTTTTTTTTTTTTTTTTTTTTTTTCAACAAGTCGGCCGTCTCCCACCGAGGCAGGGTGACCCAAAAAAGAAAGAAAATCCCCAAAAAGAAAATACTTTCATCATCATTCAACACTTTCACCACACTCGCACATTATCACTGTTTTTGCAGAGGTGCTCAGAATACAACAGTCTAGAAGCATAAACATATAAAGATACCAACATATCCCTCCAAACTGCCAATATCCCAAACCCCTCCTTTAAAGTGCAGGCATTGTACTTCCCATTTCCAGGACTCAAGTCCGACTATATGAAAATAACCGGTTTCCCTGAATCCCTTCACTAAATATTACCCTGCTCACACTCCAACAGATCGTCAGGTCCCAAGTACCATTCGTCTCCATTCACTCCTATCTAACACGCTCACGCACGCTTGCTGAAGTCCAAGCCCCTTACCCACAAAACCTCCTTTACCCCTCTCTCCAACCCTTTCGAGGACGACCCCTACCCCGCCTTCCTTCCCCTATAGATTTATATGCTTTCCATGTCATTCTACTGTGATCCATTCTCTCTAAATGACCAAACCACCTCAACAACCCCCCTTCTGCCCTCTGACTAATACTTTTATTAACTCCACACCTTCTCCTAATTTCCACACTCCGAATTTTCTGCATAATATTTACACCACACATTGCCCTTAAACAGGACATCTCCGCTGCCTCCAACCGTCTCCTCGCTGCTGCATTTACCACCCAAGCTTCACACCCATATAAGAGTGTTGGTACTACTATACTTTCATACATTCCCTTCTTTGCCTCCATAGATAACGTTTTTTGACTCCACATATACCTCAACGCACCACTCACCTTTTTTCCCTCATCAATTCTATGATTAACCTCATCCTTCATAAATCCATCCGCCGACACGTCAACTCCCAAGTATCTGAAAACATTTTATTACTAAAAAGAATGTTACAGTTATGTTAGGATATTTAAAAGAGAAGCTTCAAAAGTTGGTGGAAGAGTTTAGAAAATGTGTAAAAGAGATTAAATATGAACTAAATTGCAAAGAAATTAAACATGAGCTAAAGTGCAAAGAGATTAAACATGAGCTAAAGTGCAAAGAGATTAAACATGAACTAAATTGCAAAGAGATTAAAGTAAGTGGTATAGGCAATGAAGGATGTAGTCGGAAGTATGGGGAATGAAAGATTATAGGTCATATTGGAATGAATATGGAAGTTAATGTATTTAGCTACTTTGGAGGGGATTTCAAAGAAGATTGGTATATTAACTACAAGACGTGTTGCAAAATAGATGAGGGAAGGAAAGTAACTGAGGAATTGAAAAATCTATATAGAGAAAGAAGTTTGTCAGTGAATGCAATGCAAAGGGAAATATATCAGAGTATCGAGTATGATGGTGCCAAACTTTGGTATGGGTGTGAGGCATGGTTTTCAAATGTTGCATTGAAGAGGATGGAGGCAATGGGAATATGTCTTGAGATTAGAGTGTAGTGTGAATATTATGTAGAGAATTAAAAATTAAGAAATTAATAAAAGATGGTGTAATGGTACAAGAAGTATAAGTCAAAAAAGAAGAATGGTGTTGCTGAGATTATGTACAAAGAATGGAGTAAGAAAGGTAAAGAGGGTATAGAACTCTGGGGTAGATGGAAAGAGTTGTAAGAAACATCCAGTGAAGGGCTGTAAGGAGGGTGTGATGGAGGTTACAGAGTGTAACATTTAACGGAATGTAAAATTTTAAAACTTAATGAGTGGAAGCAAGTCATTTCTGAGATGTTACATGCTATTAGAATAGGATATGATTCTGTAACATCTATGAAGGAATTCAGGCAAGCTGATTATCAGTTTATCAGTGGTACTCACCAGCTTTGGAGGAGGGAAGTAGTATGAAAGTTGAGTGGGGATATTGCTGTTTATTGGGTCATAACTGAATCATGCCACCTGTACTATTTTGGTAAGATAGCTAGGGAGTGAGTATGAATGTGTTTACTTCGGAATGAATGATAGCAAATTTGTTTAATTCACTGGGCCATCCTGCCTTGGCAGGAGGGGGCCATTGAGGATAAAAAAAAAAAGAATTGGTTATTTATTTATATTGATTATACGAGTGCAGACAACTGAAAAGTAAATTATTGCTCAGTCTATGAACAGGTTTCCCTGGGTATATCCTTTCAATTATATTGTTCTCAGCACCTGTTTGGTCCTATGGTTGCTGGACTGAAGATGTTTGACTGCATGACCCCAAGATAAAAATGTGAGAATCTTGGTGACTTTATCCTCACTATGTTTCTTTACTTTTAGTGGTAGTTTGTATTAGCACTATTAATTGTGGTCTGTATTTAAACCAATTACTGCCATGATCAGGCCTCAGGCTAATATGACCGTCCCTATCTATGGAAGTTCCACCATGTGGAATAAGGAATAATTTTCCATCTTAATTTTTACAGCAATCTAGTGAAAAAAGGGTATTTTTTTACCCTTTGTAAATGTAATTTAAGATATATTATCACATGTGTATTTGTTTTAGGACAAGGGATTAGATTTGTGGCTCAGAATAGTGGTGGAGCCTTATTACTTGATTGATATATGACAACTCTGATAGGGAGCTCCAGTAAACATGCTTAATGCAGGCATGCACCTAACTTAAGCTCAATATGGAGTTGTTATGATTAGACAGAATCAGCTGTTTTTTGTCAAGAATTCTTAATTCTGCATGCATGCCTGCACTCTGAAGGAGAGGTGGGGGATGTTACAGTTTGATGGTAATCTGATTGTGATGTCAGCACGCGTCTGGAATAATAGACAGTAATTGAACGAATGATGGTATATGTGTTCTTTGGAGGGAGGGGGTAAAGGAGGTTTTGTGTGCAAGAGGCCTGGACATACAGCAGGCATGTGTGAACGTGTTAGATAGAAGTGAGTGGAGACAAATAGTTTTTGGGACTTGACGAGCTGTTGGAGTGTAAGCAGGGTAAAATTTTGTGAAGGGATTCAGGGAAACCGGTTAGCCAGACTCAAGTCCTGGAAGTGGGAAGTACAGTACGTGCACTCTTAAGGAGGGGTTTGGAATATTGGCTGTTTGAAGTGACATGAAAACTGTCGTATCTGGGTCACCTCTGCAGACTGATTATGTGTGAATGATGGTGAAAGTGTTTCTTTCTTTTTTGGGTCACCCTGCTTTGGTGGGAGACAGCCAGTGTGTTGAAAAAAAATATATATATATATGTCTTTCTTTCTTTCAACACACCGGCTGTATCCCACCGAGGTAGGGTGGCCCAAAAGGAAAAACGAAAGTTTCTCCTTTCAAATTTAGTAATATATACAGGAGAAGGGGCTACCAGCCCCTTGCTCCCATATATATATGTATCTATATATAATCACACATACACAATTGTGCATTCACACATATATACAGACATAATTTACAGAACAAGTGAAATATTTTACATTTATCTCAGGTCAGAGGAGGCTTGAGCCTACAAATTTTGGAACAAAATACACAGTACTATCCTCACTAAGCTCAACGAGACAAAACCCTGGCACCCAGCAAACTGGGCGTTTGCTTCAAAACTACTGGTTCTTGGCTAGTGATTACCAGTCAAGTACCAGCACGACTTTTCTGGATCAGTTTAAAAACTCATTTTGAGGACTAATGACTTATGCCTTACTAGAGTTTTGGGTAGTTACTGACACTAATCAACAACCATTGCCCACACTTATCCTCCTTTGTTGACAGTACATGTACTTGGGATTAGCCACAAGATTTTTGAATTTCATTTTTGGTCTGATTTTAGACTAATTATTCTTGTATGTCTTATGATGATAGTAATTCACCTGATTTCAGTGCTAGTGGCTGTGATATTTTAGATTCATATGTAAAAAGGGGTAAAACAAAGGATTCATTTCTTATTTTAATAAAGAGTTCATGAAATGTAGGACCTTCACATTTGTCTGTAAAATAGAAGTGGAGTTCACTTAAAACTGAGAAGGTAGAACTCTTAAGGGAATTGGAGTGTGGAGTAAGTACAATATTTCTTAGCTCTTAATAAAGCAGAAGCCATTTGTGGCATGAATGTATGCAAGTGTGATAGTAATGTTACAAATACATTACTTATTGATTTTGAAAGATTGTTTCAATTCAGAGAAGGCTGAGATGAAGAAAATAATGCCGAGTGTCATTAGGCCTAAAGTAAATGATTCCTGACTACTAGCAAATCATTCCCGAACGAGTCAGGTTAGACCGAGTGTTTGATGATAGGAAAATTACTCATGACCCTCTATAGCATATAGTATGCAGTCAAACCCTCAAAATTCACAAGCTTTGATTATCAAACATTTTTACTGAAGGGATTCCCTCAAATGCTAAGAGTGATTATTAATTAATTTTTTACGGTGTCCATTTTTTATGGGGTTTGGTGTATGACCCTTAAATTGGTAATTAACAATAGAATTTTGTTTAAAATATACTCCTTGAGTTTCCAAAGCACAAGTCGTTTTCCTTCTTGTGAATGTCTATGTTAACTAGATTAGAATGCTATTTAAAGAGATCATTTGAAAGACAAAATGAATCCAAATCTGAAAAAAAAATTATTACTGTATGCACATATAATTGTGTTAATATTAGTCACAGATGCTAGAGTTGGAGGTTAGGATGAATTTTAGGGAATTAACTGTACTCCCTGATTTTGTAAAGTTTTGCTTTAACCCTTTCACCGTCCATCACATAGATCTACATTGTTGATACTAGGGTCCCTCACATAGATCTACATTATTGATACTAGGGTCCTTCACGTAGATCTATGTCATGAGCTCAGGTCACTCAGATAAGCTGTGAGCGGTAAATTTTGAGCCTAGATATGAGGGAATGGGTCTGTATGTTGAGTGTGTACTGTATAAAAAAAATCCTGTCCCATGTCGTGCATGATGGAAAAAGCAAAACTTTGACCTTATGTCTGATTTAAAATAGCGACTGAGGTGCTTCCTATGAGGATTTTATTGGCTGTTTCTTAGTATCATATGATAGAAAGGAAGATATACCACTAAAATAGAAATGATTTTGGTTTGTTCCAGGACCAGAAGTAGCTTGAAATCGGCCTCAAATTATTGCAAATGTGTATTTGATTTTGCAGATTTTCCAATGTAGCAATAATAATAATAATAGGCCCAGATTTAAGTATTCATTCCCTCAGTCCCATTATTATACAGTAGATATAATAAATATACCTGTCCATACATTAATCACAGATCATGAGAATGCACAGTATAATATATTGTTTAAACAAAATATTGGTATGTATGGGTTACTCGCCTCACCAAGTATTTCGTAGAAATACCTGTCCTCTTGGATGCTCTCCTTACATTTTCTAGGTACTCTTAAGGTTATGTTAGAGAGAATAGATCTCAGTGCCCTCTCACACTTGCTTAATGCACTCAAGAGTTTTGTGATAGAGGATACATCCTTGCCACAGAGCTTACACTTAATATACGTTCTTTATCAGATTCAAGTCCACTGAGTTGCCATGCCAGTCATAAAAGATTACCTACATGATTGTGATATTCTTTAATGTCTTTGTCAGTATGCATACAAAAGTTGCCCTGGCACTTTTTGAAACCATCAAGCAAATAGTATGCTAAAAGTATACTTTTGCATGTTCATTTTCAAGACTCCTGTAATCTACCTCAGCTGGGAGTTTGATTTGTATCATAATGAGTGTAGGTAGGTACTGTATAGCATCTCACATAGATGAGCCCATATTCTTTCCTGAATTGCCAAGCAGCCCATCCTACTTATGGATGATATGGGATGCCTTCATCAAGTAGTCTTAATCATTGAAAGCTGCATACATTGCTTCCAGTATTTAAGAAGACCACAACAATATTTTCAGTTACCTACTTAATTATTGTAGTACAGTATGTTATATCTGTATGAGCATGTAACATTTATGAAAGATTCAGGATAACTGGTTAGCCATGCAATAACAATTAAAATTACCCTTCAAGCTGCAGCTTGAAGGATAATTTTAATTTGTTATTGCTTTTCTGGCAATGTAGGTGTTGAATGAATGGTGATCAATGTGTCTCCATATTTCGGTCATCTAACTTGGGTGTGAGGTGGGCAGAGCAATAAAAGAAAATTATGTTCACGGGGAAAATACTAAGTTTGTATATCAGATAATGCTAGGAGAACAGAGATAATCAGATTTGAGGAAGTGAATGTTAAACATTTAGAATAGAAAGATTCAAGCAGCTACTACTGTAGCTGCAAAATCTACATTCACTCAACTTCAACTTATATGTAAATATTTCAAAAGGATACCAACTACAAGCATTTTTGAATAGTTTTTTTTTTTTTTTTTTTTTTAATCAAGTATAAAGTTAGGGCTGTACTGTTTTTTTAGTTTGGCTAATGTTACATTTATAACGACTTGGGAAAACTGCTTTATGGGATGGTTTACAGTACTTAAGTGTCCCAAGATCTATAGTTTGACTTCAGTATGTTACACAACAGTTTCTTGGTATTATGCTGTTGCTGACATTAACCAATTTGATTTTGCACAGTGTACATGAGATTACACAGAAAACTTGTCTTATGAAAAATCTGTATTATCAAGAACTGTGTACTGTATTTAAATTTGTGGAAAAGAAAATTGTTTGGAATGCAATAAAGCATTATAAATATGGTGCTGTATATAGAACTGTACAGTTCAAAAATTAAAACCCCTGTACTATATATGTATACAGGAGGGCCCTGCTTTACAGCATTTTGCTAATGCAACAGTTTTCAATTATACTCCTTCATTTATTCAGACTTCCTACAATAAATATATTCACCACTCACTCTAAGCTAAGGACAAAAATATTTTGAGGTAAGTAATGTGTGTACTGTATATGTATTTTTTTTTTAGGCATAGCTCTATTGCTCACTTAATATATGATAGTGTAAGCATGTTATCAGGCTTTTATATGCATTCAAAATTGAAAAAAAGCTACATTTCACTTTACAGCAATTTTTGCTTTACAGTAGTAGCCCAGAGTCGAACCTGCTGTATAAGCGGGGCTTTCCTGTAATGGTGTAAAAATTATTCGAGTGCAGTATTTTTTAAAAGATGTATAGGAACAATAAGACATTAATCCATGTCAAAATGAGATTGATTTCCTACAGCTCTGGTATTTGGTCTGATGAAATAAAGTTTGGAAAGCAAATTTTGCTATTATCTTGAAAATTAGGACAGTCTGCAAAATGTGCAACTCCAAGTGGGACATAAAATTTAAAGAGAGAAGATATAGTTTCTTTTCTCCATCAAAAATACATGGAGTACTTATTTTTTTTTCCTTCAGGAGGAAGGGGGCACCTTGATGCTAGTGAAGAGCTCTTGATTGAAAGAACTGGAGCCCCACTCACCCATGAATCCAACTTTTACCTCCCATTTCCTAGGTGCTGTATAATGCCTACAGATACAGTGCTCTGTGAATGTAATTTTTTCTTTAAAAATTAAATATATCACTGTGTGGCTATGCTTATGTATATTATATTTTACAACATTAGAATAAAAATGTATAGCTGATAATTAGGTTAAGTATTTAATGTTTTTATCTGCAGGGAGCCATGCATTATTTTATTCATGGACACACAACTGTGTGACCGTCTCAGGTTTAGTGCTTAAGTCGATTATATCCATGGAAAGTGTTGTAGAGGGTCTTGTGATATAAGTTTATTTCATGGAGCTTATTGTATTCTTATTATAATCAAAACTAAGTGCTAAACCCACAAGGGTCATAAAGCACTGCAGGGTAGGGCGTACTAACAGTTTAATATACTTGATCTGAGACTAGCGAGGGTGGAGAGTATAACAAAGGTGGAGTTTGGAAGGGTGATAGTGCTAAAGGATGTATAATCAAAGTTGTGTAATAAATCTGTTGCTGTCAAAAAATCAAGGAGGGAGTGTGTGTCAAAGGTGAGGCCATCCATAAGGAGGGAAGATAAGGTAAGAGCATAAAAGCAAAAAAAGGCAAATAGATGAGAGTAGAGTTATACCAATGCTCTTGTATGGGTGGTGAATGTTGCAAGGAGGAGAAGACTGGAGGCAGTGGAGATGTTGTGTCTGAGGGCAATGTGTGGTGTGAATATTATTATTGTGGCTTAGCGCTTCTTTTTGATTATAATAATAATAATAATCATTGCTTAGTTAATCTTAAGTTAATTTTAAGCCAGCCCGTAATGCTATGCATAGTATAAGTGGCTTTGGCATACTGCTCTTATCTGTATTTTTTTTTGTACCTCTGTATGTGTGCACAAATAATCGGGGGAGCGCTAAACCCGTAGGATTATACAGCGCCTGTGGGGAGGGGGATGGAAGGTATTCAGACTCAATTTTGGGAACTGAAGCACATCCAATTCCCTAATTTAAGAGCCCCTCACCAGCATCAAGGAACCTTCCTTGAGGGGTGTGGTGTGAATAAAATGCAGAGAATCTGTTAGTTTGGAGATTAGGAGGAGGTGCGGGATTGCCAAAACTATTATCCAGAAGGCTGAGGAGGGGTTATTGAGATGGTTGGCTTAGTGCTTCTTTTTGATTATAATAATAATAATATTGAGATGGTTTGGACATGTTGAGAGAATGGAACAAAATAGAATGACTTCAACTGTGTATAAATCTGTAATAGAGGGAAGGCGGGGTAGGGGTCGGCCTAGGAAAGGTTGGAGGGAGGGAGTAAAGGAGGTTGTGTGTGCAAGGGGCTTGGACATTCAAGCGTGCACGAGCGTGTTGGATAGGAGCAAATGGAGATAAATGGTTTTTAGGACTTGACGTGCTGTTGGAGTGTGAGCAAGGTAACACTTATGAAGGGATTCAGGAAAACTGGCAGGCCGGACTTGATTCCTAGAGATTGGAAGTACAGTGCCAGCACTCTGAAGGAGGGGTGATAATGTTGGTTTTATAATTGTAGTGTAAACATGCCTCTGCCAAGACAGTGATGGAGTGAATGACGATGGAAGTTTTTCTTTTTTCGAACTACCCTTCCTTGGTGGGAAATGGCCGATGTGTTAATACATATATATATAAAGTTTGAGGCGATCAATAGCGCAGCCTTGACAATCCATCCTTACAGAAAATTACTGGAGATGGTAATTCATCAAGATTAAGGGACTGATCACTTCAGACATTTACTTCACATCTTGCAATGTCTCCAGTAATTCTCTGTACTGGATTGATAAAGCATTTCCACAAGAAAGACACCCATGTGTTGCACGTTTTATTCATCTACTATAGTACAGACTTCCTCGCTTTATGCAGATATGCTTATGTGAAGCAACCCAATTTGCTCCAGGTCAGGCTTAGGAGAGGGCATGAAGAGGCAGATCTTATTATGCATACTTCAGGTGCCAAAGTGCAAGGAAGGTAAGGCATCTTGCTACTAGTTGACTAGAGCCACTGTTCATCCAGCAGTTATATGTCGCACAAAAACAGAAGTACGACAAGTTAAATTCCCAATTATGATCTAAAAAGGGAAGGAGCCATTTTGCAAAGGAATTTGAATAAAACAAATATTTACTTGTGGAATCCCTTTACATCTTCCTTTAGTGCTTCATGAATGAGGAAATTAGCAAGTCATTTTATATACCACCATTAAGCATAGCAGGAGTGTGCTAAAGGTAATTATTTCATTCGTGGGAGAAAAAAAAAAATAAGCCCGTAGGATCTATAAAACATACAAGTGAATGAGAGGCTATCAGGTTTGAACCAAAGGAAGATGGGGCCCAATTCTTCAGATCAAGAGACCCTCACTGACACAGTAAAATACTTTAAGGTTTCATGGTTACATATCCTCTTTGCCTGCCTTCAACTGAGAGAGGCTCCTTGTCAGTGAGAGGCTCTTGATCCAAGGAATTAGACCTGCCCTACTTTTTGCTGGATCAAACCTTACTACCTATTCCCCAGATGCAGCATGACCCCCTACAGATTCAGTATTTTCCCACGAATGTATGCCTCTAAAAAAATATTCATACCCAAATTCTAGCTATGCAGTTTTATTACATGTTCACACAAAGATCTGGAGTACATTTTCTCTAACCCTTAGCTGTGCAGTGTGCCACATTTGCAAAATATAGATACCAATACAGTATTAAAATTCCAAAACTTCCATTAATGCTTCATCACACATTATGCCAGTGCAGCATATCAAAATTTGTGCATATCTAATAAGATCCAGCAAATCCCTTAATACTGCTTAAAGGAACATGCATACAGTAGATCTCCCCCCCTCTTACGGCGTTAATTTATTCACAAAAATTGTTAGTCGAATACTTGGAACTCGGAACTTATTTTCCCATAGACATGTTATAGTTGGAGATACTTTCCTGACCATTAATATTCTATATCTAATTTCATTAATTTTTTAACTAGTAATATGTAGCCAATATTTTATAGTTAGTAGTTCCTTTTCAATTACTAATACAGTAGTACTGAACAGTTTAATTTATGCATTAAAAAGATTTTACATTCACGCAGGGATAACACCGAGCCCGTAGGGGTCATACAGAGCCTGGGGAAATGAGAAGCAATAAAATTCAATCAGAAGCCCCTCACGTGCATCAAGAAACCTCCCTTTAAAGTTTAAAAGAATGGAACTTCAGTACAGTATAGATGCAGAGGGGCAGGCAACAACTTGACAGTCTTCACTCGCGTTGTACAGTGGACCCCCGGTTAACGAACTTTTTTTCATTCCAGTAGTATGTTCAGGTGCCAGTACTGACCGAATTTTTTCCCATAAGGAATATTGTGAAGTAGATTAGTCAATTTCAGACCCCCAAACATACACGTACAAACGCACTTACATAAATACACTTACATAATTGGTCGCATTTGGAGGTGATCGTTATGCGGGGGTCCACTGTATTTAACTCGAGACTTTGTGTAAGTGGGAGATAGTGGGTAGAATAATAATACAAGAAAGAGGGTGTGGTGTGAGCTCCTGCTGTTATGTGCCTCACTCACTGGCTGTGTCCATATGTGCAGACAGCAGCCTATAGAGGTGGCTACAACAGAACAAAGTTATTTAATCTACAGTTCTTTATCAATCTCTACCAAATAAACTCCAGACATGATTAAAAAGTACACACACAAAATACATACGTATTTAATACAAATTGTAATTCAGGTGTAAATAATATTACGAACATTAAACTTCCAGTTCTTGACCAAATCTTTATCAAACAAATGTGAACACTATCTGTGCACCCCTCAAGGTTCATTGATGTGGCATAGGCCTCTTGATCCACTCCTTGGATTGAAACTGCTTCCCATCTCTCCAGATGTATGACCTCTATGAATTTAGCACTCCCCTCCCTACTGAATATAATAAAATGATTTATACGTGTCTTAATATGAACCTACAACACAGAGTAATAATGCATTTCAAAAATCTATCCAAGAAAAAACTGTGAGCTTTAAGAATATCATAAATATTAAATCCACAGGTGAGCTCTATACATGCATAAAATATACACAAACTATGAATGCATTTGTTAAAAAAAATAAATTCATTTAAAACAATAATGTTTGAATATTTGCAATGACTGTAACTGGAGATTAGTACTTTTATACATTTCCAAAATGCAAACATATGAAGGCAAAATATCACAAGTTGGGGATCTACTGTATACTTGAATTTTATATAATTTTTACGTCTATTACGACTTATAAGAAACCATAACAGTTGTCAGTTTTGAAGCCTAAATAACTAGGAATAAATGCAACCAAGACTATCTGCTAAAGTTCTTCAGTTCCTAATCAAGACAGACACAGGTAGGACATCTCTCACAAGTAGCAGACTGTTAACACACACCTTACAGTAATCCTCTGTACTGTATTATACAAGTTATTTGGTTTTAAACCTAATCAACCAACCACTTGTATTACACAGCACTAACATTTCATGCTGCCTATATACAGAATGCTTAAAACACAATTTCTATTAAATATCAGATTAGATTACTGGCTAATTTGCTCTAGCAGAAATTTTGGAAACAATTTAACCCTTAAGATTTATTTTTGTTGTATAAGTGCCACTGCTTATTCAACATGCATTGAAGCAAGTTACTGTTAATAAGTAAGTTCTGCATAAAACTGATCTAAAAGTTAAACTTTCTAATACTTTTCAATGAACTGTCCCAAGGTTCCATAATGATGATGAGGGGTTCTTGATCCATGGAATTGAACAAGCTCTCTCCCCTGGATCAAACTTGATTATCTCCCATTCCTCAGGAACTGTACGAGCACTAAGAGTTGAGCACTTGCCCTAAATATAATTCACATTTTGTTTCAATATGTTATCTTTCAATAAAATATTCTACTTCAAATTAAACAAGCCATAATGTAAATAATATATACCAATAAATTATTAAAAAGAATGATATGCCTTGTTACTACTTTGACTGGAGTGCCTGAACACGGGAATCAAGATTGGCAATGTTGGTTTGGATGATTTCAAGATTGTGAGAAAATTTCTTCTGCACACCAGCCAACAACTCTGCATTAGAGTGCAAGGCTGCACTGAGGTGGGTCTGGGCAACATCCAGTTGCTTCAGTGATGCACTGAACTGCATTGCTGCAACAAAAACCAAGTTAATACACTAAATAAAATATACAGGCAAGACAATAGTTATCCACCATAAAAAGTAATGGAAGCAATAAAATAATTTACTTCATAATACTTTTTATACACACTACGGTAGAGCCTTGCTTAATGCCCAGATAGGGCAGAATGAATGGTGCATTAAGTAAAAATACATTATGCAAATCTCATTTTCTCATAAAAGTTAGTGTTATAACTAGAGACAGGGACTCTTAACGATAATCTGTATCTAATTCCTATTAATTTTTCAATAATGAAATTTAAAACATGTACTCACCAGAGATGGACTCATTGTTTTGTAGTGGCATAGAGGTGTTATATCCTTATTATACAAGTAAATAACACAAACTATGAAGATTTAGACAAGGTTTAATCATGTCAGTGAGTGGTGATGTCATATTACTACATACTGTACATCCCACCACTCCCTTCAGAGACGAGTCCATTGTTTAGTAGAAGCATATTAGTACAGTGGACCCCCGGATAACGATATTATTTCAATCCAGAAGTCTGTTTGGGTGCCGTTATAGACCGAATTTGTTCCCATAAGAGATATTGTGAATTAGATTAGTCCGTTTCAGACCCCCAAAAATACACCTACAAAAGCACTTACAAAAATACACTTACATAATTGGTCGAGTTGGGAGCTGATCATTATGCGGGGGTCCACTGTACTGTTATACTCCCCCTCCCTTCCCCATTTCTCAAGCACATAATGCAAAAAACTAGGTGTATTATCCCTATGGGTTTAGCACTCTCCTCATGAATGAAAGAATAATTAATGTGCACTTATGAAACACCTGTCCAATTATCCTAATAGAACTGGTAAACCATTAATATCTAAAGTAACATTAATCTCTTACATAAAACCTGTAATTATTTCTACTCTAATTACTATCTGATATTACTCTAGCCCTGTCTTGCCTATTTATTAACCATACTATTATATTCACCTTTTACAATCATAAATATTTTCAAGCCTACTTAGAGTGCAATATTTTAACCCTTTGAGGGTCAACAGGCCCTCTCCCAGACTTGTTCTCAGGGTTGAAAAATATTTAAAAAAGAAAAAAAAAAATTGTGATTTTTTTTTTTTCTAAATTTTATAGGCTAAAAAATTTTTTTTCCCATCGATACTTACCGAGATATGGAGGTGTGAAGTTGACAAACTGAACTTCATGTGGCAACATCACTGACTGCCAGTAACCTGGTAATCATTTATTTTGTTTTTTCTACTTTTTCTACTTTTTAATATTTTTTCTTTTCAAGTAACTTTTATGGCCTGTGAGACCAATATGAGGACTATTTTGTATATATTTACTCTTTCTAAGCTACACAATAACTGCACAAACACTGTTGTCATTATATTGTTTACAAAACATATTTACACAAATGAACAATATGAAATGTTGCTTATTGCTATTTTTCTAAATTCTATATACACATATAGAGTCACTGGACATGTTTCTAGAAGTTCTGCAGCCTGTGGAACTCTTTGAAACACGGTGTCATGCACAATGGTGTTTTACACTCCTCACACATAAAACGAGTATCTCTGCATTTTGGTGGGCATTTTTTTTTTTTGTATGTGCACAGACAAAACACCTCTTCTGAGCCTTTTTCTTCAAAGCAGTAGCAGGCAGTTGTATTAGGAAGTGATCACCATGCCTCAAACGAGAGGGTAGTTGATGATTAGTTCGCAGGCATTGTTCTATTGCAGGTGTTGTTACTTGGTACTTGAATAATATTTGTCTGACGACAGAAACAAAATTGACCATATGGTGGTTTGTTTCTGGTCTTCAACTTGTACACATTATAAGCATTCAGCATGGAAATGTCCACAAGATGAAAAAAGAGTTTTATGTACCACTTATAACTCTTGCAAACACAATCAGCAAACCCAATTTGCATATCACATTTGTCCAGTAAGCGCATATTAAGCATGTAGTCCATCACAGCTGCAGGTTTTAAAATGGGTTCACTGGTCTCTCTATGCTGCCTATCAGTGTCTGTCATTTCATTTCAGTGAACTGATGACAACAGTGTGACATCTCGTTTGTCATGCCACCGAAATACCACGATGTCACTGGCAGCAAACGCCTGCACCTCACCTCTACGAGTGCCTGCCTCGAACCTAGGCATATGTTTATGATTTGCACGCACTGTACCACACACATCTGTCATATTCACTCGCAAAAATCACTGAGGGACTTGTGCACCAGTTATCAGTACTATATATGTCCCTTGCCAAGATATGGTTCCATTATTGTTCTAACCACATCACCAGGGATACCCAATAACTTCCTGGTATCTTGCAATGTATTACTTCCAGTGTACACAATAATATCCAAGACCACTGTAGCAATCACAAAGTACAAACAACTTTATACCAAAGCGTTTCCTCTTGCTTGGTATATACTGCTTGAACGACAGTCTGCCTTTGAACAAAATCAAAGACTCATCAATAGCAAACTTCCTGAAGGGATAAAAAATACATAATGAATTTCTGTTTCAGATACATAAACACATTTCTAATCTATATAGCCTGTCTTTTCTGTCAGGCCTGGTTTTGTCTGAGAAGTGTAGCATACATAACAGTAACACAAATCGATTCACTGGTATAATATCACTGAAAGCTGGGGTTGCAATGAGGCGGTCTGTTGACCAGTATGATTTGACACTGTGCTTATACAATGTGGCATAAGCATTATTGTGGCAAACAAAAGATACATCTCAGCCACAGTTGTCTCCTTCCACTGGTGTAGCAGTGATCTTGGTGAAAGAACTGTTTGCCATGGTGTACTCGTAGTATCTGTTGCTTTCCCTGACAATCATTTCCATCAGGGGTTCGGCAAAGAATAACTCAAAACATTCTAGTTCAGTGGCATTGTTCCCAAGTGTACAAGATGGCTGTAGTCCACTTTGACTTTCATCAAACTGATGGGGATTGGGAACAAAATTGGCGGCTTCCTGCCAATCCCAGGTGCGGTCTGCTGGTGGATACTGGATACTGACAGGTGGTTGTGGAGGTTGGTGAGGTGGGTGGGTGGCTGAGGGTGGTCTTTGTTGTAGCTGAGCTGACTCAGCGGCGTGGGTAACAGCATAGGCCGCTGCTGGTGCCTCATGGCTGGCACCACCACCACCATCTTCTGACACCTGCACATTTTTGAGCCCCATTGTAACAATATCATCTTCATTTTCACTATCTGTTCCTGTTGTACGGCCATGAGATGTACTCCTTACCCTTGGAACAGCATATGGCACACTACCAGAGCGCATGTAACGTCATATACACCTACCATCCGACTTATGACCTGCTCGACTTACGACCGTGTTTTTTATGCCAAATTTCTGGGAAATAAACAACTATTAGTGTTGTACACAGTGTTTATCCTAAACCTTACAGTATAAAATACAGTACTAACAACATAAAAAGTAAAGTAAAACATGAAATACCAAAATAAAACAATAAAATAGTCATTACAAAAATGTTTTGTTGATATTCAGTAGTAAAGTTCGACTTACGACCATTTCGACTTACAACCGGTTTCTCGGAAGCAAACTCGGTCGTAAGCCGGATGGTAGGTGTATACTGATGCTTCACTGGAGAATATTCTGCTTCACTCTTGCTACTGGAACTGTTTTCAAGAGCTTGGAGCTCATATTCACTGTCACTATCATCACCACTGCTCACATCTATGTCCTGAGCAAGGAAAAATACGAGTGTCCTCTTTCGTTCTGGTGCAACTGAATGTGAAGAAGACGGCCCAGCACCAGATGTGGAAGGTTCGGGGTCGTCTGGATTTCCATCACCATTACCACTCTTATGTTCATTATTCTCGGTCACAAACTCATCAAAACCCTGGAACTCCTCTTCATTGACACTTCCATCCGTATCTGAACTGTCACTTAGGAACAAAAGAGTCCCAATTTGCCAAGGAGTGAGGAGCTTCTTAAAGTGAGGCATGGTGGACAAGGTGAACTAAAATGGCATTCCCGCAATGCACCACTGGGTGCCCGAATTTTTTCCTTCTGCGCACACCATGCAGACCCATTCTCTCACATGTAGGCCTACCAGCTTTCTCCCGCTCGATTTGAAGGCACTAGAATTTACGTGTACAAGTACGTGACCGACCCTGGCTGCAATGACGAACTAGTACGTGACTGACCCTCAAAGGGTTAATGTTAAGAAGTTGTACAGAGAAATTGAGCAAAATTATTGAATTTTGTTAAAACCTTTTTAAGGATATTTTAATTATCACATACACATTCAGCATTTTTATTTAACTAACCTTGTTCATGCATAGCCTCAAGAGACATCAAACGCTTAACAACTTCAGGAAGAGTGGAGCAAAGACCCTCTGTCTTCTTAACCAACTCATAAAGCTCCGATACCTGAAGTTAAACAAGCAATTCAAACTAACATTCAAACTGTTTACCAGCACCTCTCTGCAATACACACATTAGTCTTGTATCATACCCTTCATCATCCTTATCCACAAAGTGTGCCTTTCAAACCTTTAATGAAACCCTGAGTCCAGGTCTAAACATTATATAATTCAGAGGACTCAGGAGGGGGTAGGTGTGGTTTGGGCATGTAGAAAGGATGGAGAGGAATAGGATGAAGAGGGTGTAAAAATTTTTAATGGAAGATAGATAGGTTAGGGGTCTTTCCAGGAAAAATTAGAGGGAGGTGGTAGGCTTGTTTGAGCATGTTAGACAGGAATGGAGAAAAGTGATTAATAGATGTTCTGCTGAAGTATGAACAAGGTAATTATTATGAAGGGATTCAGGGAAACTGGTTGGCTAGACTGAGTCCTGGAGATGGGATGGTTAATGAATGCACTCTGAAGGAGGGTCAAATGGTAATCTTATATGTGATTTCAGCACACTTGTGGCAAAACAGTAATTGAATTTATAGATTTTCTTGGGTCATCCTGCTACAGCAGGGTAACCCAAAGAAGAAAAAATATTCACCACTTGTTCAATCACTGCCTCAATGGCTGTTTAGCTAATGTTGGATGACCCAAGACAGCACTATACTATTCAATCACATAGGTTGCAAAAAGGTGATTTTTATAACCAGCACCTCTTATACAATGGTTGTATTAGTTGCCACTAACTGTGACACTGCTGTCTCATTCCACACCCCATAAGCTTTCCTGCAATACTGGAGGGAGGGGAGGGAGATAATCCAAGCCATAACCAACTATTATAATAGTTTTATTTAAAAAGAAATAAGGAGCAATTATTGCATACACTCATTATACAACAACAAAGAGAGCAAAACTGATTATGTATATAAAGTCTCAAAATTGAGTTCAGACAAAACTGATTATGTATATAAAGTCTCAAAATTGAGTTCAGATTAAACAGGATATATTACTCAGCCAAAAAGTCTGTATGCTCACCTTACTCTGTTTGTCTGCATCTTCAATAACTGCTTTCTTTTCTGATATGGAATTCATACGAGTATGCACTGCATGCAGTCGCCCCTCTACGTGATCCAAGTGTGCAGGTTCAAGAAGGGCTAATCGTGCACTTAAAACCTGCACAGCGCCCACGATTGATTTATGATTGGTCCAAGTAGAGAGACTTGACTGCAGATAGAAAATACTTAGTGTATATATCAGAACGAATAAACAAGTAATGAAAGAGTAAATATTGCCCTATCAACATTTTCTCTCATTCAACCTGATTATACACATTTAACACCTGCTTTCATCTTTGAAATACTGTACCATATTTACTTAACTTTTCACACATCACCAGTATTTCTCAACAAGGCATGTGACAATTATCAGTTACTAACAGTAATGATAAGCTCTTTTGACAACTATCTAGGAATCAAGAAGAGTGAATCACTTGAAACCAATTATTCACAGCTAGTCGACCATCAGAACTGTAGTGAAATAGCTTCAGATAGGACACACACACCACACTTGTTCAAATATTGAAATGTACCTAATGTACAAACAAGCCCCTCACATTCCTTTGTACATACTATTTTAAGGCAAATTATTTTTAATACTACCCCAGACTTAAGACACATGAATCAAGAGTGAATCTCCATGCTTAAAGGGGCCCAAAACACCAAATAGCCTACCACAAAATAAAAAATGCACATCATTCAGCAAGCACTCCAAAAATTGTAATAACACCTTTGTAAACAACTCATGGAATTGACAGGATCTGAACTGACTAATAGCCTGCTGGTTTTGGGCCTGGCACTGCATGGGGTGCAAATCCTGCCCACTGAATTCAAGAAGTATTTCAATGTCAATTTTCCAACTTCTCTCCCATTTATGTGTACTGATAAATTCCACCTAAGCCATTTATATAGAGGCATGCACAAGTATAATACAAATTTCATTTAAACTATTAGAGAGCTGAAAAATTATTACACTTGCATTTTATATATACTATGCATTGTACCAATTTATATTTACATTCTTTTTTTAATCATCTACATCTTCAAATATAGCCTGACAGGGAATTACGGTAGGACCCCCGTCTCTGCAGGTCTGGTATCCAGTTTCAGTTATTCATTGTTTCCCGTGGCCCAAAAAAATAATCCATAATTTTGCTTAATAATGGCCTCGAAGTGCAAAAGTAGTGATGATGGAAGTTCTTCAAAGCCTAAGAGAAGCTGTGAAATACTTCCCATCAGAGAAAAAGTGATAATTCTCCACCTTTTTAATAGGTATTTCCTATACATACCCATTGTTATTTTCATATAGTCGGACTTGAGTCCTGGAAATGGGAAGTACAATGCCTGCACTTTAAAGGAGGGGTTTGGGATATTGGCAGTTTGGAGGGATATATTGTGTATCTTTATACGTATATGCTTCTAAACTGTTGTATTCTGAGCACCTCTGCAAAAACAGTGATTATGTGTGAGTGTGGTGAAAGTGTTAAATGATGATGAAAGCATTTTCTTTTTGGGGATTTTCTTTCTTTTTTGGGTCATCCTGCCTCAGTGGGAGACGGCCAACTTGTTGGAAAAAAAAAAAAAAAAACCACTGTAAAGTTTAATTTATCAATTAAACTTTATAATAGGTATGTTATTTTTTTTTTTATTAACACACTGGCCGATTCCCGCCAAGGCAGGGTGGCCCGAAAAAGAAAAACTTTCACCATCATTCACTCCATCACTGTCCTGCCAGAAGGGTGCTTTACACTACAGTTTTTAAACTGCAACATTAACACCCCTTCTTCAGAGTGCAGGCACTGTACTTCCCATCTCCAGGACTCAAGTCCGGCCTGCCGGTTTCCCTGAATCCCATCATAAATGTTACTTTGCTCACACTCCAACAGCACGTCAAGTATTAAAAACCATTTGTCTCCATTCACTATCAAACACGCTCACGCATGCCTGCTGGAAGTCCAAGCCCCTCGCACACAAAACCTGCTTTACCCCCTCCCTCCAACCTTTCCTAGGCCGACCCCTACCCCGCCTTCCTTCCACTACAGACTGATACACTCTTGAAGTCATTCTGTTTCGCTCCATTCTCTCTACATGTCCAAACCACCTCAGCAACCCTTCCTCAGCCCTCTGGACAACAGTTTTGGCAATCCCGCACCTCCTCCTAACTTCCAAACTACGAATTCTCTGCATTATATTCACACCACACATTGCCCTCAGACATGACATCTCCACTGCCTCCAACCTTCTCGCTGCAACATTCATCACCCATGCTTCACACCCATACAGGAGCGTTGGTAAAACTATACTCTCGTACATTCCCCTCTTTGCTTCCAAGGACAACGTTCTTTGTCTCCACAGACTCCTAAGTGCACCGCTCACCCTTTTCCCCTCATCAATTCTACGATTCACCTCATCTTTCATAGACCCATCCGCTGACACGTCCACTCTCAAATATCTGAATACATTCACCTCCTCCATACTCTCTCCCTCCAATCTGATATCCAATCTTTCATCACCTAATCTTTTTGTTATCCTCATAACCTTACTCTTTCCTGTATTTACTTTAAATTTTCTTCTTTTACATACCCTACCAAATTCATCCACCAACCTCTGCAACTTCTCTTCAGAATCACCCAAGAGCAGTGTCATCAGCAAAGAGCAACTGTGACAACTCCCACTTTATGTGTGATTCTTTATCTTTTAACTCCACGCCTCTTGCCAAGACCCTCGCATTTACTTCTCTTACAACCCCATCTATAAATATATTGAACAACCACGGTGACATCACACATCCTTGTCTAAGGCCTACTTTTACTGGGAAATAATTTCCCTCTTTCCTACACACTCTAACTTGAGCCTCACTATGTATGTAGAGGACTTATATATAGGGTTCACTACTATGCGCAGTTTTGGCATCCACAGCAGGTTTTTGGAACACGTCCCACATGGATACGGGGGTCCTACTGTACTAATACATTATTAATGTATGTTACTGATGATAAATATAATTTACTATATAAATCTTGGGGTGATGGACAGTGGTGTAAGGGCAACCCGTTATTGCAAAATTCATGTTGACTGCTCAAATACATTTAGTAAATTTCTTGACTTACATTATTTAGACTAGGTTTAACAAGGTTAGTGTTCAAACCAATACTAACAAGCTTATCTGGGTTGTTGCCAATTAATGTTTCAAGTTGATCAATTCTCTTTTCCAGCATGGCTGCATTAGCAAGCTGATTTAGCCGTGCATGTTCAGGTGCATAGCAGAGATTGTATGACATGGCAGGAGCAGTACTACTATCATCGTCTGACGGTTTTCCCTCCTGCTTCACATTACTGCCTTTCATCTGTGATACTAAACTAGCCTGTTTAAACATTTCCAGCAAATTGGTAAGCTTTCTGAAAGAAAAAAAAAATATTACTAAAATATATAGTGTTTAATTTTATTCCTTCCAACACTCAAGTAAAAACCATTAAGTAAAAACATAATTCAGCAAGACAAAATATTGAACTTGACATAAAAGCATGCTAACATACTTTTGAAGAGTTAACTGAGGTTGAGAGATGGCTGCAACAATATCAGCACCAAGAGTATCCTCCAGTTTAAGATCAACCAGAGTATGCTGGAGGTCTTCTACATGCTTGCCTAACTCCACTGATGACACTAAACCATCACCACATGGTACAGAATCCTGAAAAACATACTGACAACATTTCTGCATCTATTCTAGCTCTCAGTTATAACTGAGAGCTGTTTTATTAACTGAGATGTTTTATTAAAACTATTTTCCCATTAATTCTTATTAAATGTCTGAAAATTCCATCTTTTAATTTAATGGCTGCTTTCTTTTCACTGTTCTTTCTCAATATGGTTTATTACTCAATGGAAACCAGGATACTATTTAGGATACGTAACCAGTGTACACTTTAACTCTACTAGATACCTAACCAGCCTTTTTTTATTGTAATTTCATAAGCTACTATTCAACCTTTTCCAACTTGTCAATTACAGTATGTATTAATGTTTAGCAAATAATCTTTCAATTTGTATCAAACTTATGGGCTTCCAAATTGTTATACTCTACTATATTTTGGTATATTTTATAATACAATTATCATCATCATTATCATATTCATCATCACTGTTACAATAGCAGTTAATATAAAAATATCTTTGGGAATCAAGACTAAGATATTCAAAATGCTATGCAAAATATCAAGACCTAACATGAAACAATGAGAGTGGCTGGTAGCATTAACAAAAAAATATTTTGGAAGTGGTCAGAGTGGATAAAAAACAATTCTTGTTCTAAGCCAAGAGTTATTTTTTATAAGTGAAAGTGAGATATCCATATGACACTGAGCACTAATCCAAGGCAGGATAAATTTGGTTTTCATGTACACTAGTTTATATCACTCCTTATTTAATGTAATTATTAGAGCTAAACATCCCTCAAGGAAGGTTCCTGATTTCAATGAGGGGGCTGTTTATCCAAGGAATTGGACCTGAACTGAACCTGAATGACTCCCGTTCCTCCAGGTGGCACTGCATGACCCATGCAGGTTTAGCACATCCCACATAAGTGTAATAATAATTAGAGCTAAACATAACATAAGAGTACGGGGTATACATAAAAAATATCAATGATAGAAATCATTTTTAATAGAAATACAATATAAAATAAAATTCATAAATTTTGTTTCAGTGAACTGTAAAATACATTACAGTAAAAAAAAAAACTGAGGTAAAGAATCTATAAATGAAACCCATAAGACTTCTCCTTAATGTCCATAAATGACATTTCATAGTTCTAGAACAATTACAGATGGAAGTTCCCTGAACGTCATGCAAGAGACAAGCTGCAGGTGTTGTATAAGTAGTATATACATTATACCGTAATGAATAGATTTATTGACCTCTTATGCATAAAATCACCATTATACCCAGTGAATCATCAAGTGTACTAATGGCTTAGCTGGTATGACAGTAATATCTTGTGAGAGACAACTAGATCAGTCCCCAATTTTACACACAATTATTTTCACTATAGTATTGTGAAATTCTCACCTAATGAAGTGTACATGCGATCAGGCTTATGGGCACTATTGCGAGTGACATGAACTGTGTTGTGCTCAATTCAAAGAGAGTTCTAGCTAGCAAAATTAAAATGAATTGTCGCTAGTAGAATATGAGCACAAAGTCAATAATTCTCAGGTGTATGCTGTGTGAGCATGTTAGATAGGAGTGAGTGGAGACGAATGGTTTTTGGGACCTGACGAGCTGTTGGAGTGTAAGCAGGGTAATATTTTGTGAAGGGATTCAGGGAAACCAGTTAGCTGGACTTGAGCCCTGGAAATGGGAAGTATAGTGCTTTGCACCTTCAAGGAGGGGTTTGAGATATTGGCAGTTTGGAGGGATTTCTAAACTGTCGCATCTGAGCGCCTCTGTAAAGACAGTGATTATGTATGAGTGAGGTGAAAGTGTTGAATGATGATGAAAGTATTCTCTTTCTCTTCGAGGTTTTTCTTTCTCTTTGGGTCACCCTGGCTCAATGGGAGACGGCCAACATGTTAAAAAAAAAAATACTAAAGGGACAATATAAAACTATGTGCAATTGATGATTTGCCTGTTACTAGTCTACAACTCAGATGTCCATTACAATACTACTATTTAGTTATTTAATTTAATGACCATTCATAAAATTGGTACCAATAAATGACTTACCTTGATAGCTTCTACTTCCTCTACGAGTTGATTGACTTCACATTTTAAACGTTGGTATTTCTGGGTTACAGTCTCCTCTTCTAAATCTCCACCAACTTCCCACTCAACTCGCCTAACACAAGTAAATGCCAGAATCAAGCAAAATAATTTGTTCGTACAATTTTTATAATCTGTTAAGTTTATCCTTGGCTGCATTGATATCTATAGAAAGCAAACATACGAAGAAAAAATAAAACAATATTTTAAAGCATAGTTGTGTATTAATATTTTCTTCTATGGTAAATACATAAGCAGTTTATTTCACTAGTCTTATACATTTTAAATACAATATATTTTACATGAAACAGACATTACATCAGATATTGATGTTTGAAATATCCCTATCTTATATTTTTTAAACCTGTACAAGTCAAGAAAATGGAATAGTAGTGTGAAAATGGAAGAGCAGTTCAATAGGCCTACAAGCCTAGTGTAGTGCCCATGCTGGGCAGATAATTCTCGAGTCCAGCCTTTCTTACCCATGTACAGTAGGGCCCCCACTTTACCGCGTTCCGCTAATATGGACATTTCAAATTATGACAAAAACTCTCTATACGGCTCCCCCCACCTGACTTTCTAATGTGGTCAGCGCGCCCCACCTGGTTTGTTTACATTCTCCGTGAGCACCGCATCTCTCCATTATGTCTGGAAACCTTCCAAAATTTCAAGTGTTTATAAAAATTATTTCATATTTTATATATACTCTGATAATTATGCTTACGTATACCTGTACCTAAATAAACTTAGACACTGTGCTAGCATGCAGATACACATTAACCCTTAAACAGTCCAAACAGGTCGACATTCAAATTCGTAGTGCTCCAAAAGTAGATCTACTTTTTTTTACATATTTTCAAATATAACAAAAAAAAATGTAGTTAAAAGTTTTTTTTACAAGTTTTCAAATGTAAAACAAAAAAGAAGATCTACATTTTTTACATACTTTCAGATGTTGAAAAAACGTATACTATATACGTTTGGACCATTTAAGGATTAAAATCACTAAGAGTGTCTTATGTCTCGAGACACCATATTAATAATGATAATAGCAATACTCAATAATAATCACTGAGGAACATTAAATGTCATATATTACATTAATATACATATTTTCATTAATCCATCTATGATTCATTTTATCTCATTTACTCACCTCTGACCCTACATTAAGACTACAATTATTTTAATTTAAGTAATGAGTGAACTGTACATGCATTTTATCGCTCTGGGATGCTTTAATCTCGTAGTATATTATGTATGGGTGGGGTGGCCTGGTATGGTAGGTATGGTATGCCAGGCTACCATACATACCACACTTAATTTCTAACAATAAATACTACTCATTTCACCCTACATTAAGACTACAAATATTTTATGGTAAGTAATGAGTGTAGTACTATATGTGTATTTTACTTTTTTATTGTTTTTTTTAATGCCTAGTTCTATTGGCCTGGTCACAGACCGGGCCGCGGGGGCGTTGACCCCCGGAACTCTCTCCAGGTAAACTCCAGGTAATTGCTAACTTAATATATTTAGTGTAAACTTGTTATCTAGTATTTATATGCATTTATAAGTGGAAAAAGGGTGTTCCGCTTTACGGCAGCAACCTGGAACCTAACCTGCCATATAAGTGGGGCCCTACCGTATTTGTCTAAACTATCTTTAAAGCTACTCAAGGTTGTTTCAATAACTACTGCCAAACCAGTACCTCCCTATATCCTCTCTAAATCTGAAGTTATCCAGCTTGAAACCACTGTTCCAAGTTCTGTCTTGATTGGATATTTTTAGCACCTTATTTATCTTTGTTTAAACCTGTCTCTTCATATTATCTGCCCTCATTTTATGTGTTCAAGATAGTATAAATTCAGGGCTTTCAATCTATCTTTATAAGATTCTTAATTCAGTGGATTAATTTTATCATTGTTCTCTGTATGTTCTCTATTGTATTTATATATCTTCTGTAGTTTGAAGACCAGAACTGAGCTACATTATCTAGGTAAGGGTCTAGTAATAATATATATTGCTGTAGATTATTCTTTGGACTTTGTTACTGTACTTTCACTGTAATTCTTGAATTAAAATATGTTAGCCTACTATGCATGATTAAGGCATGTCTTGGTTTCAGATTTCTGTTTAGCATGATTCCCAAGTTTTTCACATTCTGTATGATCAGACTATACCACCTAGTTTATAAGGATGAGGGTTATTTTCATTGCCAAGGATTAGAACTCTGCAATTTCCACATTGAACTATATCTGCCATTTTTCAGAACATGATATTAGCCTGTCCAAATCTTCCTGAAGTTTAAAGGTATCCACCTCAGAATCAATTATACTAGTCTTATTTTTGCATCAGCAAATTCACTCCTCACATTTTTTCTTGTCAAGGTCATTAACAAAAATTACAAATGGGAAAGGCCCAAAACTGATCATTATGAAATGCCAATGGTCCCCAATCTGACTGCACACTAAATACAGTGCAATATTGCTGCTTTCTTTTATCAATGATCCTGTCTCCTAGATGGGCAAATTTCAGCAAAGTACACTACAGTACTTCGCATTATGTGCAAGTTTGGTTTCATATTTATAAACGATGCCAGGATCTACAACCTGCATATTTTATACTCTTACATACCTACTAAAGATCCATTTGTACAAGTGACTCAAATGAAATACATAAGTTCCATATCTGATTCACCATATGCAAGTTCTGAAAGAATACAGCACAATAATGCAGTTTGGAGGGATATGTTGTGTATCTTTATACGTATATGCTTCTAAACTGTTGTATTCTGAGCACCTCTGCAAAAACAGTGATTATGTATGAGTGTGGTGAAAGTGTTGAATGATGATGAAAGCATTTTCTTTCTGGGGATTTTCTTTCTTTTTTGGGTCACCCTGCCTCAGTGGGAGACGGCCAACTTGTTGAAAAAAAAAAAAAAAATTATAAATATTACTATAATACAAAGAACACTATGATAAAAAAAACAGTATGATAAAATGCAAAGCCTCACCTTGCATCATAGCCACGACGATGGGCATAGGAAATTCGATCAGAGAAATCAACATAAGATGCATCCAATATCTGTGAAAGATAATTTGTAAAAGAAAACTATTTAGTAGTTTCAATACAGAAACCAAAGTAAAACAAGCTACATGATTTTACACTTATCATGATTTTAAAACCTGTCTTCCAATTTGCAAGTTAGTTATATATACTGTGCTTAACTTACATAAGTTGGATTTTCAACATGTATAGACTAATGTAAAGTAAAGTAAAGTAAAAGTAAAGTTTATTTCTTAGTAAAGGTTACAATGTGTAATTACAATTTTGACTTGCTAAGTATAAAAATAGCCACTATTATGCTGGGGCATTTTGGGCAGACTAATCCTAATACATAGTAACTAATTAAAACTAGACAAGATAATAGTACATAGTAACTATACTTAAAACTAGACAAGAAGTAATGGTTAACTGTTTTACAATCTTGAAATTGCATACAAAATCTACATTACAAGTAATGGTTCAGGTGGTAATATTTTATAGATTGGTAGAATTAAAAGCTTAGAGGTTACATAATAAAACTAGTTAGCAGATGTTTTGGTTGATTTGGTTAATATTGAGAGATAAGATGATTTTTTAGCAAAGTCCTAAATTTATAAGTTGTCAGGGGATCCCTGACCTGTTCCGGTAGCGAGTTCCAGATCTTTGGGCCCTTTGTGTGCATAGCATTCTTGCATAGTGAGAGACTGACTCAAGGGATGTTGAAAAGTGCCTTATGCCTTGTATTGTACCTATGCATTTTGTTGTAACTGTCAAGTAGTTTTAGGGAAGGGTTTACAGTGGAGTTTAATGTTCTGTATATGTAGTAGGCACAATAATATGAGTGTATGTCTTGTATATTTAGCAAGTTGAGTCTTTTGAAAAGTGGTGGGGTGTGCTGTCTAGCACAGGAGCTGGTTATCACCCGCACAGCAGCTTTTTTGTTGGGTTATTTAGGGTCTAATCACACAGTAATGTCTACTACAATTCTGTTATGCTAGATTCTCCAGAATTAGTCACAACAATTCTGAATTTAGAGCATTATCCAAAAATATGAGATTTTAAGGAAAGGAGTTTACATTCACACTTAAAAAATTGTTTTCAGAAATATTTAATTTGGGTTTGCTAGTAAATGACATTACTGCAGTAACTTTATCCTTACCTCTAACAATACTACACAATATACTGTTAATAACACTATCCTTGCTCTAAGTACCACAGTATACTGTAATAACAATACCTTTACCCTAACAATATTGCACAGTACTGTATACTATTCATGAACAACTAATGCTCTCCTGTAAGGATACTGTTCAGTACATTTCAAAAACACTATGCCTGCTCCTAATACTACAGCACAGTATACTACAATAACACTACTCTTGCCCCTAACAATAATACACAATATACTATAACACCACCACTCCTGCCCCTAATAATTATGTACAGTATACTGTAATAACATTTTTTTGCCCCTATTAAATAATGCACAGTATACTGCAATAACATGACTTTTGCCCTTAATAATAATGCACAGTTTACTGTAACAACACTAACCTTGCCTCTAAAATGAGAATGAGCATCATTGGCAGATATATGGAGTGTCTCCACAGCACCACTACTGTCTCCACTATCGTTCAATGAATATTCTTGCTCACTCTCTGGCAGGTCACAAGTCTCGTAAACATCTGGCTGGTCATATACCTAAAACAAATCAATCTCATAATATATGAAAAAATAAAGATCTGGGCACACAATTTAGTTTATTATATTGTATAACCATATACAGTGGATCCCCGGTTAACGATATTTTTTCATTCCAGAAGCATGTTCAGGTGCCAGTACTGACTGAATTTGTTCCCATAAGGAATATTGAGAAGTAGATTAGTCCATTTCAGACCCCCAAACATACACGTACAAACGCACTTACATAAATACACTTACATAATTGGTCGCATTGGGAGGTGATCGTTATGCGGGGGTCCACTGTATATAATATTAATTGCATATCATGGAATATCTGACAAAACAAATGACCATTTTACTGTATCATAATAAAACAAATAGTAATAGATTTAATTAAAATCCTAAATTCTGTTAATCCGTTGCATGAAAGCTAACCTCGAGCGTGATCTACACTCTCCAACCCTAGATAGTAACCATGGTAAACTTCTATGGAACAAAACTGCTAAGGCATTGAGACAGGAAAATGTAGCTTTAATGGTAGATTTTAACTTCAGCCAAAATGACTGGAGCACTTTGATAGGAAATTAGTCTATCAAATATCTAAAAATATGTAATTCAGGACTGCTTTATAAAACAGTCTGTGTCAGAACCAACTAGAGGAAATAACCTGTTTGACTGGGTTCTGGCAAACAAGAAATCTAGAAGTTAACCCTTTCAGGGTCGACAGGCCCTCTCAGAGACTTGTTCTCAGGGTTGCCCAAATTTCAAAAAAAAAAAAAAAATTATTTTTTCTTATGAAAAGGTAGAGAATCTTTTCCCGATTATAATGACACCAAATGTATGAAATTTTATGGAAAACTTACGGAATTATGCTCTCGCGAATTTAGCGAGAGCATAATTCCGGCATCTCCACCTTCTGAAGAAATTCTCAAATTCACCAAGGACTTAATAACCACCTGTGCTGCAGAAGGTCCATCAACACCACCAACTAGTGATGTCACTCTAACAATGTCCAATGAGAAGCCTCCACCACCACCACTCCTCAATGAATCCAACCACCAGAATGCCACCAGAAACGTCTTCTAATTCATCTACTGAAGTTGACGACGAATCAACACCACCTTCCTCAGCTCCACTACCGCCTTCTCCACCTCGCTCACATCGATTACCTGGAACACCATGGGTTAAACACAAAGGACTCGCATTCTACACCACGACGCAATACCCCACACGAATGACTCGCCTAGAACTCATCCAACATCTCCAAGACAACACTGCAATGTACCAAAGCGACGAAAGATCATACCCTACCTTCAACCAGATACTCCAGTACTCCAAACCAACGAACTCTACCACAGCTCTCCCATATGTGTGCTACAAATCTCTCGAACAAAATTCAATGCACTGAAAAATGGTTCAAAACAATAACCAACTCATCCTGCTTGCTGCCTTCTGACACTCCCAGCTCCTACCGCTGCCTTAGCCATCCTCTCCTAGTGAGCCAAGTAACATCATTCAAGCCTCTCCATCTACGTTTCCAGTACTTCGGTACCACATGTCCCAAAGTGGTTGGGCCACTTGCCTTAATTCCTCCTCTTTCCCTTCTTCCCATCCTTTTCCAGTTATTTCCATCCTTCCTTATCCTTCTTCCTTCCCATCTCACGACAGCTCTCGTCATCTTAATCGATTCTATTCGATTCATTGTAAAATCAGTCAAAATCATCTCAATTTCTGTAACATGTCTTCCATTCTATAGAATGAGACCAGGAAAACTAGAATACAACAATAAATACCATACGAAAATACAGTGCAAAGCCGCTGTTTTAATCCAAAAACACTGTCAATGTTTTTTTTATCATTACGCACTGTGTGCTGCAGGATTTTTTTTATACTGCGCACACTGACCACATAGACCCATTCTTTCATATGTAGGCCTACCAGCTTTCTCTCACTAGATTCGAGGGTGCTAGAATTTAGGCGTACTAGTACGTCAAAAACCCTGGTGCGTAAGCCATACTAGTATGGCTGAAACCCTGAAAGGGTTAATGAAGAGCTCTTAGAAATAATAATGTTGGTAGAATTACCGATAATATGTAAAGTAAAAGGACACAAGTGCAACTAATGTGACATTTTATTGTGGCAACTTTTTGCTCTCCAGGAGCTTTGTCAAGCTGATACAAACAGTGTATGGACACAGAGGGTATATAAAGGCTCAGAGTGAGGTGCAATACTAGTGGTAGTAGTAGTAGTAGTGACAAAAGTTGTAGTAGTAGTAGTAATTGCTCTACCATATTGTATTACTACTACTACTACAACTTTTGTCACTACTACTACTACTACAACTTTTGTCACTACTACTACTACTACTACTACCACTAGTATTGCACCTCACTCTGAGCCTTTATATACCCTCTGTGTCCATACACTGTTTGTAATAGCTTGACAAAGCTCCTGGAGAGCGAAACGTTGCCACAATAAAATGTCACATTAGTTGCACTTGTGTCCTTTTACTTTACAGCTCTTAGAAAGCAATCACAAATCACTTAGTTTAGTACCTCGTGGAATTATGTACCTTAAATATCATGAGGAACACTGATTGAACAGTGGTGATAGATGTCATCTGAACTTTTTGTCCAAAGCATTGTACAAGCCACTCCAAACTGTATATTATTCTTAATAAAAAATTTAATCAAATATAAATGACCCTAAATGGATGAACAATTGACTAAATCATATCTTAGGATAGGGGAAGGAAGAAAGGCATTTATAGGGCAAATAATAAGAGGAATGGATCACATTGACCAATATATTCAATTTAAGAAAAAAGTAAAAAGAAAGGGAAATGTAAAATAGATTATGAAAGAGCAAGCACTGCAGTAGGCTTGCTGCCCCATGCTAGGCAAGTCCAACTTACACCTGCCCATACTCATATGCTTGTCTAATTTATCTTTAAAGCTGCCCTAGATTTTCATTTCAGTGATGCTACCTGTGAGCTTATTCCCCTCATCAACAAATCTATTTCCAAAATCTAAATTTTTCTAACTTGAACCAATTATTGTGAGTCCTGTCTTGGTTACATATTTTTAGTATGTGCATAATTTAAATCCCCTTTATTTATTCCTGTCTTCCATTTATACAATCATATCTTCCCCTAATTCCACACTTTTCCAGAGAGTGCAGATTTAGTGTCCTCAGTCTATCCCCGTAAGAGATTTTTGATACATGGAATCAACTTTGTCATCTTTCCCTGTGTGTTTTCCAGCACATTTATGTACATTCTGCAATATGGAGACTGAAACTGTGCAGTATAATTTAAATGAAGCCTTACCAAGTAGCATTACAGGAAAAAGAAGTTTGGACAGCTTTAACCCTTAAACGGTCCAAACAGATCGACGTTCAAATTCGTAGTGCTACAAAAGTAGATCTACTTTTTTTTTACATATTTTCAAATATAACAAAAAAAAATGTAGGTAAAAGTTTTTTTTACACGTTTTCACATGTAAAACAAAAAAAAAAAAAAGATCTACATTTTTTTACATACTTTCAGATGTTGAAAAAACGTATATATACGTTTTGACCATTTAAGGGTTAAATATAGGTTGACTGGGAACATGAATTGATGTGGCTGAGTCCGAGTTAGACCTGCCTACCATGTGCTAATAGACCTGCTGCAGTATTCCTTTATGTTCTTAATAAAATTGTGTTGAATAAAATTATTTTTAGCGAAATTACAAAACTTTTCATAAGAAATCAGTGCAAAATTATTGAAAAATAATTATGATGAGGTAGCTTGAACAATGTACAAAAATTACATGACATGACATTACATTACAAACTTACTTATTCAAGGGGGAGCACTAAACCCATAGTCAGAAAGTAACTGGGGAAATGGAAGGTACGCAGACTCAATTCGAGGAACTGAGGCACAGCTTCAATTCCTTAGATCAACAACCCTTACCAGCATCAAAGAATCTACCTTGAAGACATGTATGGGAGATAATCGTAAAATTATATATTACAACTGTTACAAGTAGGCTCCTGTCTGTCTCAACTATTGGATCACTACGACAAGGTCCCAGATGCACTAGAAGACAAAAAGAATGCAGATGTAACATATACAGACTTTGCAAAAGCCTTCGACAAGTGTGACCATGCTGTAATAGAGCACAAAATGCATGCTAAAGGAATAACAGGAAAAGTTGGTAGATGGATCTATAATTTCCTCACAAACAGAACACAAAGAGTAGTAGTCAACAGAGTAAAGTCCGAGGCAGCTACGGTGAAAAGCTCTGTTCCACAAGGCACAGTACTCACTCCCATCTTGTTCCTCATCCTCATATCTGACATAGACAAGGATGTCAGTCACAGCACCATGTCTTTCTTTGCAGATGACACCCGAATCTGCATGACAGTGTCTTCCATTGCAGACACTGCAAGGCTCCAGGCGGACATCAACCAAATCTTTCAGTGGGCTGCAGAAAACAATATGAAGTTCAACGATGAGAAATTTCAATTACTCAGATATGGTAAACATGAGGAAATTAAATCTTCATCAGAGTACAAAATTAATTCTGGCCACAAAATAGAGCGAAAAACCAACGTCAAAGACCTGGGAGTGATCATGTCGGAGGATCTCACCTTCAAGGACCATAACATTGTATCAATCGCATCTGCTAGAAAAATGACAGGATGGATAATGAGAACCTTCAAAACTAGGGAGGCCAAGCCCATGATGACACTCTTCAGGTCACTTGTTCTATCTAGGCTGGAATATTGCTGCACACTAACAGCACCTTTCAAGGCAGGTGAAATTGCGACCTAGAAAATGTACAGAGAACCTTCACGGCACGCATAACAGAGATAAAACACCTCGATTACTGGGAGCGCTTGAGGTTCCTGAACCTGTATTCCCTGGAATGCAGGCGGGAGAGACACATGATTATATACACCTGGAAAATCCTAGAGGGACTAGTACCGAACTTGCACACGAAAATAACTCACTACGAAAGCAAAAGACTTAGCAGACGATGCAACATCCCCCCAATGAAAAGCAGGGGTGTCACTAGCACGTTAAGAGACCATACAATAAGTGTCAGGGGCCCGAGACTGTTCAACTGCCTCCCAGCATACATAAGGGGGATTACCAACAGACCCCTGGCAGTCTTCAAGCTGGCACTGGACAAGCACCTAAAGTCGGTTCCTGACCAGCCGGGCTGTGGCTCGTACGTTGGTTTGCGTGCAGCCAGCAGCAACAGCCTGGTTGATCAGCCTCTGATCCACCAGGAGGCCTGGTCACAGACCGGGCCGCGGGGGCGTTGACCCCCGGAACTCTCTCCAGGTAAACTCCAGTAAGTGACGAGATGATGGGAAGAACCTTATTAATGATAATAATAATATCTCTTTATTTCTATATGTACCATGTATACAGACCATAACTGACATCAGTGACATACTATATTGAAAGTCCCTTGTTATGCAGAGCATTTCTGGTAAATTAGGTTAATATTGTCCCAAGGATGCAACCCACACCAGTCAACTAACACCCAGGTACATACTTACTACTAGGTGAACAGGGTCAGCAGGTGTCAGATAAGATAAGATAAGGAAACACGCCCAAATATGTCCACCCGTACCAGGGATCGAACCACGGACCTTAATGTGTGAGCTGAATGTGTTACCAACCATTCTTCGAGTACTTCCACACACCTCAGCCTCTTAAATATGCATATGAATACAAGCAGCAGTAAAGATAACTTACAATACCAGGTAATCCAGCATATTTAGGATCAGCCATGATGATGGGTGGTGGTGAGGGCGTCTTGTTTACACCCGGACTGACTCACCCTCACTACTGCCACCTTCCTCAACCAACACATCTCAAACATTTAATTTAATCTTCACATTAAACCTCTTTCTTTAATTATCCTACCAACATCCATTATTGCAAATATTGACATAAGGTAATGAAGTATAATTACCTTTTTTATAATTCCATAATAAAGCACAATAAGTCAACTATTCTTAGGTACAGGTACTGGTAATATTGCTATCGTGTGTAATAAGTAGGTTCATTTAGGCACAGGTATAATTATCAGTATAATTGTCTTACATAGTTTAACGTGTAAATTACCTAGCATAACCAGAAATAGTCAGACAAAGTGAATTATTTCCATTGGGGTCCTTGTAATAGCTTTTTGTTTCAAGCCTAACAGTAACTTACTGTGTTCCCTTCTAAACTTTTCATAAGAAATCAGTTCAAAATTATTGAAAATCAGTTATGATGAGACAGCTGAACAGTGTACAAAGAGGCTATGATGGCAGGCAACAACTTCCCAGGGAGGTTATTATTATTATTATAATCAAAGGGGAAGCGCTAAACCCGGAGGATTACACAGCGCCTAGGGGGGGGGGATGTGGAAGGCATTCAGGCTCCCAGGGAGCTACTACCGTCCTGCCAAATGAGTGATTTTTAACAGTTAACTTATTTATTATGCACCCTATACCCATCCTGTGGACGGTAGTCAAAAGATTATAAAAGTACATAATGGGTTTAGGGACTGGGCAGCAAAGTTTGGATACCTGGAGTTTACCTGGAGAGAGTTCCGGGGGTCAACGCCCCCGCGGCCCGGTCTGTGACCAGGCCTCCTGGTGGATCAGAGCCTGATCAACCAGGCTGTTGCTGCTGGCTGCACGCAAACCAACGTACGAGCCACAGCCCGGCTGATCCGGAACTGACTTTAGGTGCTTGTCCAGTGCCAGCTTGAAGACTGCCAGGGGTCTGTTGGTAATCCCCCTTATGTGTGCTGGGAGGCAGTTGAACAGGTTACAATGGTTACAATGGTAACAATGGTTACAATGGTAATGAACAATTTATAATAAAATCTTTAGTTCCACATGTAATACAGGCCTAACTGATGGCACTTCAGGCAAATTATGTCGGTTTTGTCCTGGGATGCGACCCACACCGGTCGACTAACTTCCAGGTATCCATTGTATTGATGAGTGAACAAAGATAGTGTAAAGATAGTTTCTTATGGAAACACGTCCTAAAGCTCTGTATACAAAGGGGCTTTTGGCATATACACTCAACTATTATATTCCTCTGTACAACCATGTAATTTGTCAAAATAAAAATCTTAATCTTAATGTTTTCAGCCGTACCGGAGATCGACCCCAGGACCTCAAGTGTGTGAGATGAGTGCGTTAGTAACCGAGCTACGGGACACCTATACCTGGTCAAAATCGTAATGAGTTATTCATGAAAACATTAATTAGTTCTCACACACAATCTGGAGAGTGATGTAGTGGAGGCAGGATCCATACATAGCTTTAAGAGAAGCGATACAGCTCATGAAGGAGGGAGTGGACCTAGTAGCGACCAGCGAAGAGGTGGGGACCAGGAACTGTGAATCGACCCCTGCAACCAATTAGGTGACTACACACACATACACGCAAACACAAGTATACCTGGAGAGGGTTTCCAGGGTCAACGCCCCCGCGGCCCGGTCTGTGACAAGGCCGCTTGTTGGATCAGGGCCTGATCAACCAGGCTGTTACTGTTCGCCGCACGCAACCTGACGTACGAACCACAGCTCAGGTTGTCAAGTACGGATTTTAGGTGCCTGTCCAGCGCTTTCCTGAAGACAGCCAGGAGTCTATTCAAATTCAAAGTTTATTCTCTATAAGGATTACAATGCTGAGTTTACAGAATTTGGTTATTGTGTGGTTTACATGTAGTAAAATAATAATTACAGAGTGTACCACTAGAACACCTAGCATGGCTAGGCATTTCGGGCAGACTTAAATTAAATCTTAAGTTTAAAATATTACAAAATTATGAGGTAAGTTGGTATTATGGCTAAGTGACTAAATACTAGTTTGTGAGTTTAGCAATGTGAATGCTTTTGTTTTGGCACTATACATAGTTTCAGTATATATTGGTAATCCCCCCTATGTATGCTGGGAGTTGAACAGTCTTGGCCCCCTGATACTGTGTTGTCTCTGTGCATATTCGTTTGTATCTCTTCGGCTGATCTCTTTATTTTCCTGAGTTATCTGTCTTCTGTACCTTTTCCATTCTCTAGTACACCTAGTTTTTGCCTCCCTACACCTTTGGGTGAACCAAGGACTCGTTCTGTTCTTCCCATTATTCCTGTTTCCCTTGGGAACAAACCTCTCCTCTGCCTCCTTGCATTTTGTTGACACAAAGTCCATCATTTCTTGTACTGGTTTTCCTGTCAGTTCCCTCTCCCACTGAATGTCTTGCAGGAAGTTCCTCATGCCTGAGTAGTTCCCCCTTTTGTAGTTTGGTTTTTCCCATCCTATTCATGCTACTCTCTCCACTTGAAGCTCAACTATGTAGTCAAAGCACAGAACCACATGATCACTCGCTCCAAGGGACCTTTCAGTTTTTTAGTTTAGTATCTTTATTATGCACCCCATACCCATCCTGTGGGCGGTAGTCAAAAGATTACAAAGGTACATAATGCGTCCAGGGACTGGACCCCAAAGTTATAATAGCTGAACTAGTTACAAAGGTAATGAACTCCAGGTAGATCTGGTCACAATCATGGCAAGTTACAAAGGTAATGAATCAGCCTCACTCCTATACATGGTTACAGTCATGAACAAATTACAAAGTAATGAGCCACTGATACGTCCACACCTGGTCACAATTGTAATGAGCCACTGATACGTCCACACCTGGTCACAACTGTAATGAGTTATAAATACAAATATTAAGTGGGTCATACATCCACATTAAATCTTCATCAGAGTACAAAACAAATTCTGGCCACAAAATAGAGCGAAACACCAACGTCAAAGACCTGGGAGTGATCATGTCGGAGGATCTCACCTTCAAGGACCATAACATTGTATCAATCGCATCTGCTAGAAAAATGACAGGATGGATAATGAGAACCTTCAAAACTAGGGAGGCCAAGCCCATGATGACACTCTTCAGGTCACTTGTTCTATCTAGGCTGGAATATTGCTGCACACTAACAGCACCTTTCAAGGCAGGTGAAATTGCTGACCTAGAAAATGTACAGAGAACCTTCACGGCGCGCATAAAGGAGATAAAACACCTCAATTACTGGGAGCGCTTGAGGTACCTAAACCTGTATTCCCTGGAATGCAGGCGGGAGAGATACATGATTATATACACCTGGAAAATCCTAGAGGGACTAGTACCGAACTTGCACACGAAAATTCATCCGTGGACTGCTTGCAGAGGCAAAGGCAATGTTCGCGGTTTTCACTGAGACCCACATAAAGGATCACTTGGACAACGAAATATGGATCCCAGGTTACAACCTATACAGATGTGACAGAGTGAACAGGCAAAAGGGGGGTGTTGGCCTGTACATTGCAGAGTCACTTGTTTGCACAGAACTGCTAAATGCCTCAAATGATGTAGTGGAAGTTTTAGCAGTAAAGGTCGAGAACCAAAACCT